TTCTTATATCGAACTGAAAATTGATATCTTTGTAGCTTGCGCATCATTCGCTGCAGTCGTTGAGGGGCTTTGCAGAGAGGTTTCTCGAGGATTGTCTCGAGCGGTTGATGATCTGTGTGTACCGTGATGTCGTGTCTTCCGTATAAGTACTGGTGCCTGTTTTCCATGCTAGAGACAATTGCGAGGCACTCCTTTTCAGTTTGAGCGTAATTCTTCTCGGTGCTGGTCAGTGTGTGGGTTGTGAAGCAAACAGGCTGATCGTTTTGTAACAGTGCGCCTCCGATTGCATCTTCAGACGCGTCCACTTGCGGAGTTACGGGAATAATAGGGTCGTAGTAGCGTAGTACAGTCGCTGATGCAAGGAGGTTCTTTGCTGAGTTGAGTGCATTTTCATGATTCTTCGACCACAGCAATTCAGGGGTCTCTTTCGCCAAGTCTCTCAGTGGAAGAACTGTTTCCGACAAGTTGTGGCAGAACTTGCTTAGGTACTGGCACACTCCAAGAAAACGCTGTACCCCAGCCTTGTCAACGGGTGTTGGCATCTTTGTGATTGCGTCTACCTTGCTGGGTCCGGGCGCTTGTGCCCCATGAAAATGACAGAAGGAGATTTTAACTGAAACTTTTTTGCAAACAGTCGGAGATCATGGTTACTACACTTCCCTCATAGGCACGTGAGATTTTTATCGTGGTCCACTAGTCAAGTTCTCTCCGGTTTAAACCAAGATGACTTCGAATACACCGTTTCCAGAATTCAAAACAACAGGAGATGAAAACCACGACCTAGAAACATTCATCGTAGATTTGATAGATCACTACACTGAAAACGCAGAATTGGTACGATACATCAAAAGAAAGAGAATAAAACTGATAAAACTATGGCATACATTATCATTATCTCCTGCGGCTAGGACGGTGTACAAATGCAGTCTGGCACTACGCGAAGCCGATCTGAAGAAACCTCACAGTGTTGTAAGAGAATATTGTGGCGCTAGCATTGGAGTGTCAGGGGAATGACAAAAGTATCTACGCCTACTGCAACAAGAAAACAAGTAATTTGAGATTTCACCGAAACAAATTGAAGAAAATCAAAGGCAAATCCAAATTATAGACGGCAAGCGCCTCCCTTCGTGGAGCCTTTGCTTGATAACGAAAATCATTTTGATAATATTTACTATAGCAAACGATAGTCCGAACCTTGCTCATTGCCTTTTGATGGCTTTTAGTGACCTTGAAAAGCAAAAACGTAAATTTCTTTTAGAAAAACAATACGCCGGTGCGAGCGCCAACAACAGCGCCAACGAGCAAAAAACCCTAGGGAGCCTCCTTAAAATGGATAAAGAAAATACAGGATAGAATTACAGCTTAATTCAACGAGTTTGGAATAATTCCATAAAGATCACAAAAAATAGGACTTAAGAAAATGCTGTGTTGTTTGTTGATCCTTCGTTTGCACGGTAAAAAAATCTTAAAAGTAGTGTAACGCTTACTTCGGATCGTTGCGTTTTGATTTATGTCGACGTCTATAGTGAAGATCTTCATGAGGCTTAAGCTTACGGCGCTATCTATTAATGATAAACGATTTGTCAGTTTCGCTCGACAATTTTAATCTGTGGAAATACGTTGACGATACGACGGTATCAGAAACCGTCCCGAAAGGAAAGATTAGTCACGCGCAAAGTGCAGTTGACCAAGTACAGTCCTGGTCTGAGGAAAATCTATTTCAATTGAATTGCGCAAAAACCAAAGAACTGTTGATCAGCTTTAGCCCTCAATACCCCCAATTTCCAAAAACCAACATGGACGGGGAACTAATTGAATCTGTGCAGTGTGTTAAACTTCTTGGACTCAATATTAATTCAACTCTAACTTGGAACAACCATATTACAGAAATAATAAAGAAATCCAACTCAAAACACTATTTTTTTATTCAACTTAAGCGGGCTAAAGTACCTACAATCGATCTTGTAGCAATCTATTGCGCAACCATCAGGTCCTGCCTAGACTACGCCTGCCCAGTGTTCCACCATGCACTTCCGAAATATCTACAAGTCGATCTGGAGAGAGTACAGAAAAGAGCCCTCGCATGCATCTTCCCAGGAGCATCATACAAAGAAGCCCTCGATCAAGCAAACATCCCAAGCTTGAGAACCCACCAAGAACAGTTGACATCGACACTTTTCCGATCAGTTTTAGAAAACAAAAACAACAAAATTCATTCTTTAATCCCAAAAAGTTATCAGGCTAATTACAATTTTAGGAAACAGAGGAATTTCAATCTTAATCGTTGTAAGACCGACAGAGCGGCAACAAGTTTCATAAATATGTGTTGCAGAAACAGTTTGTACAATTAATTAATGTGAAGTTACGCAATTCAGTTTTATCTGCAATGTAATTTTAATAAAACATAGTCTATCTAAAACACAGTCTATCTATCTGGCACTCTAGGGGAAAAAGTAATCCGGTTGGACATGAAAACTATGATTTAGAATAATGCTCCACCGTTTGACTCTTTTCTGAACCAATTAAATGACTTTTCGTTTCTATTTATAATAAGAACACATGGAATCAAGCCTTAGATGCTCAGCGTTCAGGGTAAACACAGCAGCTTGATTATGTCCTCTGGTTCTTTGCTTTGTTTTTGTGAACCAGCAGGCTTAGCAGTTAGATTTGTTCCTGGTATCTGCTCAGACGGCTGGGTTTAATAAGGAAAACAGTGCATAAAGGAACGAGTCTAAGTAGCTATTTTTTCCTTGTCACTTAAGCTGCACAAATGCTACTTCATTTACTGATATTTGAAATGAAAATAAGTGACAATTCATTCAACACACATGCAAACGGTATACCTACTGTATTGTCCAGAATCACGATCAGTCCATAACACATAATAATACACAATAATTTACTAACAATAATCCAATTCATAGATCGTATTAGACGTTTTTTAAAACATTAAAATACATGGTATCACCATAGAAAATATTAAAAGGGTTTTACGGCTGAGTAATTCGCTTTTTTAATACTTCCGCCAAGTTGCGAACTGGTCAGGTTATCCAGCTTGTTTGGCTTTTAAATTTTGTCGGTGAACCCTAACACGTTATAACCCTTGTGAGATGTTGTGCGACTTCAATGAGGGCTACAATTAGTTCGCACAAACAGAATTGAAAGTTTTTTTTGTCCACTTCTTTCTTGAAACATTCAGAGTGATCAGCTCATTAAGTTTCCGGTTTTCATTGTATCAGTATGATGATCCAAATGGGCTGGTGGCTTTTACGGCTAACCGGTTGGGCTATTTTCGCATTTTCAGACCTAACGGCTAAATCTTTTGGCCATTTTATGGCTACCAGTTAACCCCTTTGAGACTCTCTTCTATCTCAATGTTTCCCTTGTCTTCCATGAGTTCTAGCGAATTTTCTTACAACAGAAGTCTTTTCTATTGTTAATGATAGTCTCCTGTTTACTCCAAATAATGGATACAAGCATAAAGGCGGACTAATCATCTCATTTATCCCTGAAATCAGATCAAAGGAAGGAATTAATCTTTCAATATCGAATCCGTCAGCTGTACCATCCACTGCTGCCATCCATGCTTTGCTTGAACCGATCTAGCGGCGATCTATTTGCTTGTCATACATTTAATTCCCTTAACCTGATTTGGATTTAATTTCCCAAGCACGAAATTTTCCTTCAATAGATCGCAGGAGTTAAAATAGACTATATTTTTAACTGGTCTACGGCAGCTGGTCTACTGCAGTCTATTACTATAGTCTCCTTAAAGCTAGCTAATGTGTCGATCGTGTAACTAGCGAATAGCACGTATGGTCATCGACTTCATCAATCAGTGGTTCTCAAAGAATCTCGTAAGTGCTTGTTGATTTTCTAAGACGACTTATGCAAACAGGTAAAAACATAAGTGCTTTAGGGAAATTTGAAGGATGAAACATCTTGAAACTGTGTTAAGTTTTAGAACAGAAGTATTTTATATACCTTGAATAATGCCAAGAAAGTAAATTTAGATGTGACTAAGAACATGGAAAGTGAAATTATTCAACAATTGATGTAAACAATCTCATTTGACTCCTCTTGGTTAGAACTTAAAAACTCAATCTAGTTCCAAAGTCAGAGTCCTGTAAACCAGGATTTTGAAAAGCAGAGTCACACAAGCAACACTTATTTGTGTTGTATCGCTGAGATTAACATAACCCGAACCACGCCGCTTGAATCCCCTTTAGTGGAAGTGGCTCAGAACAGTAGGAGATATTTCATTATGGTAAGATTAAGCTACATTAGAGATTTCTAGTATTTTTAGGCCAGTGAGGTAAGAACGACACAGGCAATTCTTCCGAAAATAAAAGAAATATTCCTTCGATATATTCCTCTTGAATATATTACCTAAAAGTTGCTGTCTCCTGCTTGGCGGGGGAAGAATAAAAATCTAAAATAAGATAGGTATTGGCCAAAACTCTTTTTCGTATTACGTCTTCTACTCCCTTTTTTTCAAAAATAAAAAGTCCTGAATCTACCTTACCCCGGAAGATTGAACTGAGTATATAAGGATGGAAACTTGGACTATTTACCTCAAATATACAATTGTCAAAGCTGAGTTAACGAAAATTTACAAACTGAGAAATAGAGAAGTAGAAGGCTCATGGCAGGTACGTAAAAAAGTCCTGATTAAATTATCATGATAATTATAAATTTATTATTCGTTTGGTTGTCTGTTTATTTTGATGAAATGTTTAATTTGCCTCCATCAAAAGGTATGATGAGTTCCAATCGATATGTGTTTAAGCAGATACTTAGAAACCAGAAATCCTAACTGAGCTTGGTATTTTGTAGTTAAAACTTTTAATCAGCGAAATTAATTTGGTTTGTATTTAAAAAAATATTTTTGAAATATTTTCAGGTCATCCAATAAAACTCTTTTCTTTTTCCTGTCTTGTGTTGCTTTTGGTCATGCTGGACAATACTTCTGTACGCGCCAATTGTCTTCGGTCGAGACGATGTTCCAGATCCTCCGCACTCCACCGTCATGGGCGAAGGACCATCGACTTTCTGGTTGTATCGTCACAATTTTTGGCCAGTCTGACATCCAGAACATTGACGTACTCGGTAAGATATACGATACTCTTACTCTGTAAGTTTTCAAGTTTGCAAGTTTTGGTGGTGAAAATGAAACTGCACATAGTTTAAAAGAAATTATCATGCCTCTTCTGGGTCATTAAAAATGATTCTTACAGACTGAATGACAGAAACTAGAAGTATTTATTTTTCCGCACTATATTTAACTCGTTCAAAACCATGACGCCTCAACGTTTGCCGTTTCAGAATTTTCAGTCCAAAATCATGGATTCATGTGACTCAGCCTGTGCCCCTTTGTCGCGTGAAGTAAAAGCAGATTTGAACTTAACTACCTCAAGTTGCACTAATGTCTCGGTAAGCAACGAAGTTGTTGAGTTTTGTCTTAATTTTCTCATCGTGTGAATCCAATATGAGCTCGAATGATTGCAGTATTCGATTTGAACAAATTATAATGACTAAATCAAACTTAAAAGAATGCAATTAATTACCAAGCATCACATCGTGGACGGACAGGTCTCCCCTCTCTCGGTCGGGAGATGTTAATGTTTTCACATATACTCCTTGGGGTTGAAAACGGTAGTCTGTTACCTCCCAGGGTATTTCCACCTTAGGAACGTTATTACGTTGAGTACCATTTAAGCCAGCCTCAATCAAAGTTGCCAGTAACCAACGCTTGTATAATGATTCCTGTGTTTTAGGCCATCTCACACTACTGGTTCCTTATACCAAGTTCTCAATAGGACTGAAACCTTACTTGGTAATCTGCTTGATCATAAACATAGAGGAAACGATAATCAGTCAACGAGGAGTTCTCGGAACAGGCTAGGGTTGTCCAGCCACAACATAAGTTTCTGTAGGTTTCCTTTACACATCTGGCTATCCTGTTATGATATGAATTGCAGTACACGTAAAATTTGACAGTTTTTTTTGCAATTCCATTTACTCAGACAAGTATAGTTCTGGAATTTCACCGAAGAATGTCTCAAGGGTACAGCCATTTGCTTAGAGAATTATTGGGAGAGCTATCACATCTTAAAAACTTGACAACTCCTTTAGCAGACCTCACTTTTCTGCAAGATTATGTGCAGAATACGATAAACAAGTTGGTTACAAAGGCAGTTAAAATTGTAAGTCTCATTCATGTGATTAAGAATAATACTTCTTAATGGCTAATACAAGTTAGGAATCATGCTGGGTTTGAAGGTAGGAACTTAAACAAGGATTATCGCTACTGCCGTAAAGGTTATTGTCACTTTATTCTTAAAGTAATGAGAATTTGTAAGGATATTTCAGGCCGTTCTGTTTATGGCTTTGTTACCTACGAGCCTTTTTTACTTTAGCAGGCAGTAGTCTTTCACAGCATACTCTTGACCTTATGGCATTAAAACAACTTTGAATAATTCCTGAAAGCAGGAGATATAATCGTCAAAGATTACTCCAGTTATACCATACCCCGTTAGTCCAGCTCTTTTGTAAAAATGGTTTCCATGTCTTGACAATTTCAACTTCTATATCAGGATCGGAGACTCAAGGGTCTTCCACCACTAAACACTACGGCTTACCAGCAGCAGCTCTCCTCAACCATGCGCAAGAACAGTCTTCACTCTCAGTCTGTCTACAAAGTGACACACCTTGCACAGTGTGTATTAGCTGACTTGCATGAAGCATCCACTCAGATGATCATCGATTTCTTTAAAATCAAAAGTGGTTGGTAAAAGACATTGAAAAGTGGTTGTTGTGTTCCTTCAAACAATGAAATCACATTAAATTGATGTTAATCCGACCCTTTGACTCAAGAAGAGCCCAATATTCGTTCTGAAATTCACCGAATGGCAAGACATCACACTCTTTTAGACAGCCATATCACAGTCACTTTGATTAGTTAAAGGACTCAATTCCTATAACGAGTTAAATATATCAAGATTTTCTCTTGGCACAGTTTTTTTCTTAGAGAACAAAATATTTTGTTTTATTATTGAGGAAAATCATCGACTTAAGTTTTACCTTTGACTTTAAATTTGCTCCTCGTCAGTAAGATCGAAAAGGCAATAGACAAATGGTTAGTCAGTCAGTCAGTTAGTCCGTCAGACAAACAGGGACGGTCAGGCAGTCAGAGAGTAAATCGGACAAACGTTCTGTCGGTCAGTCAGCCAGTCAGTCAGACAGACAGTCAATCAGACAGACAGGCAGTCAGTCTGATGATCGATTGGTCGGTCAGTCAGTCAGTCAGTAAGTCTGTCTGTGTCTGTCCGTCCGTCCGTCCGACAGACAATCAGACAGACAGACAGACAGACAAATAAACTATCAGTTAGTAGATCAGTCAGTCAGTAGTCGTTCAGTCAGTTGATAAGTTAGCCATTCTTCAATTAATCAGCAGAAACCTAATTATCGTATGTTTAATGTAGTTTTGTGTTTTGGTAACTTTCCGTTTACATAACACAGGTGGCTTGGCGTCTAATTTTCTGGTCTGGTGTAATGTTGCCATAACGAAGTGTTTACCGGCTCAACTTCAGCCTTCTTGGCCATGTTCAAGGAACAGAGATATGAATGCATCCCTCACTGACGCCTTGATAATGTCTCGTCTATTGATAGAACAAGTCTCTAATCTCCTCCAAAATATGGTAATTTTACTTTTCCTTAAGTATATCTTCTGATACTGTCCTAACACATCATGTCTGAATTGATTTCAAAGAAAACGCTCATTGCATAGATGTAACATTCATTTTTTATGGTGTTTTTGCTTTTAATATCAGTCTCGACGCTGGCCGACGGATCCTTTTCAGGAATCCAACGTTGATTTTTATGTACCTCCTCGGAGATCCAACCAAACCACGATCAGGGTAATATAAGCTAGCTGGTATCATTACAAACGAATCTTTTCATTTTTCTTCAGAAGAGGTATTTAGAACTTCGCAATGAAGGCATTCTTTGTTTATTTGTGCCTTTGAGCGGTACTTTTAATGCAAAACTCACTTGAGACAGGTTTTGGACATTAAAGCTCGGTGGATGACAATAAGCCGTTATAAAGTTAGCAATTAGGGAGATAACTTGACTTGTTGGTACCCATCATCATCAAACCAACGAAGACCTTATAGGACGGTGTTGTCTCATGAAATCTAACCTTTCTAGACTGTCTGTGTTTCAGGCGGAAGAGCTTCTTGAGGGAAATATTGATATCTTCACAACCTTCATCTCACTGATTGCTAACTCCACACGTCAACTGAAACAATTTCAAGTTGCCAATGGTTCTTTAACAAACAAACTGGAGGATCTGAAAAGGGACGCAATGAAGCTGATAAGCTTCTTGAGAAGAAGCATGGCGCTCATAGTCAGTAGATATCATTACGTTTGCGACTAATATTTAATTTAAATTTAAAATACTTTACCTATAGTAAAACTTAGCCATTAGGACCTCTCAATTATTAACGATCACATCGTTAACAAATATTCCTTAAGAATCTCAGAGGCTATCGTAGGGGTGACTATCTTTAAATGAATTTAAAAGTTGTTTGATATTCCATCAATTTAATGAAAATTTAATCGATTGAATGCCATAACGCTTAATTCATAATTCCCATCAAATAATTAATTTTAACGGAAGAGAATAACTGAATTAAAAATTGGAAGCTTGAAATGAACTGTAGTGATTTCTCCAAAACTATAAATGGCAGTTAACATAAACTATATTTACTGGCCGTAAAATAATGTACATTGTGACGTTTTCTTGGTTTGCCATAATGGTCGTGTTACGTTTAAGTTAACAAACTTGGACAAGGACAAATATACAGTTTATCAAATCTGTAAATACTGATGTGACAATGCTTTTTTTTTATCATTATTTTTCATAACGTCGCGAACAGAGGCACAGCAGTACCAGCAAGCCATCAAGTCAGTCTGTCCAAACCAAAGCCTTAAATACTGGGTCTGTCACCATTCAGCATGTCACTCTACAAACTAAGGTTATCCTGGATGACCTTAGATCAAATTTATTCACTCTGATCACTGACATTTGGAAAATAAAAGGACTTACTTGCAATTGAAGGAAACCCTTTGTGTAATCATTGAAATAGGCTTCATAAAACAGTACGATGAAGGTTATTTAAGTTACTCTACAGATATTTAACGTTGTAATAATATAATATTTCACTTCAGGTCAATGTTATGGCATTGATTTGGTTTAAAGTAGTGGTGTTGACGAAATGATTTTATTGCAGCAGTTTTTAGTTTTGTATTGATATTTCCTTTACTTTTGAATAAAATGCTGATAAGTTAAAACTTTGTTTAATTTCTGACTAAGAGATTATTTGTGACGGAAGGAGTTTGAGGAGAGGGAAGCACAATCCAAGTACACTCACAAAATAGGTCCGTGGAGCATACCTAGGATAACTGCTCTACATACCGTGTCGCAAAGTTTTAAAATGCCCACGTTACCATTCGCTCTGACGAAGGGCTAAAGCTCGAAACGTCAGCTTTGAAACACTTTACAGTGGCCAAATTACCCTGTTATACTCTCCTACCTACGCAGCACCACAGTTTCTTTAGAAACTTACCCCTTTATCGAGAAATTAGTCTAAAACATACATTTAGCTATAATTATAAAGTTTGATCTGCAAAAGAAAGAGAGGGTGAGTGTGGGGATCAAACAGGATGCCATACCGACATTAACAGAACAAGAAAGATAAACCTAGTTGTGGCCTCACTTTCCCTAGAGGTCTCCAAAGCTCACTGGCAGAGCGTTTGAGCGCTGAATCCAAAGGTTTGAGAGTCGATTCCTAAAGGAGCCTCAGAATGTTTTCTTTCTTTCTCTAACGCTCGTGTTGAACTTGGTATGAGATTTTGAAAGTATCCTCTGTAGCTTATTTTTCTCTTAATTTTTCTCCCTCACTGGGGAATATGTTGTATATCGAACGGGTTGATGTGTTCATCGAGGAGAATATGTTTGACTACCGCTGGAATCTAAGCACATCATTCTTATCAAATGAACCGATAATTTAGAACATTACAAAGGATCGGTAAATAGCCGCGAAATAATTGAAGTCTCTTTACCAAACAAATACGTCCAGTTCAATCCTTTCGTTAATTCAACTGTTTATGAATATAAAATTTACTACCTGCGCTGATGCAGTCAAGTGCTAGTGATGTTTTAAACAGGTAAAGGTCGATGAATTTTCAGGTTTGCCTCACCGTGACTGGTCGCATTTTATGTGCGCTTGTTGTATCACCTGGTCGCTAAGATAGAAACCAAACAACTAATCGGATAAAATCATCGCGAGTATCAAACTACTCGTGTAGAAAGGGAAAAGTCAGTGCCATAAAAATTCTAGCGTGCATTGCGTTGAGTAGAATGACTGTTCAAACGATTGGAGTTGTATAGAAAATTGTCCTACAGCTCGCAGAGGACATTATAGACGTTATACGCAGATTTTACCTCCATATGATTTACCAAGAATGCCTGTAAATCATATCAAAGAGGCAAGTTATTCAACTTATTCGGCCGTTGGTTTCTCTAACTTGAAATAAAACAAACGCTGGTGAATCACTGAACGCGGGATAACGAGTACAGGATGTTAAAGTTGTTTTAAAATTAGTAGAATTGCTTCTTACCTCAAAGTTATCATGGACGTAAATTTAGCGATGACAAAAGCGATGGATGAGGAATCTAACCGGAAGATGCATCTTAGTTAGACACTGGAAGCCTGTATCTTATCTCCTTTGCCTTTATACTATTTAATTTTCCTTCTTGTTTAGTGTAAAGATGAATCTACTTCTCTCAAAATACGTGTAAGGTCTGCAGTCATAATTGTGCCACCAATGAATCAAGCCTGATGGAAAGAGTAATTAGTCTTTTGTTGAACTCACTGTAATCGGAAGAACCCCGCCTGAAATGCCAACAGCGGACAGACTAAGACTGATTTACCAGCTGGAGATGTATTTTGAGACACAGCTTCATCAATAGTTAATGACTTATTAAAAGCAATTTGAAGAGTCCAAAAGATTGACCTGATGTTAAGAACAAGAATACAGACTCTACGAATGTGAACAGCGAGGGTGTTGGAACCCGGATATATTCTATGAAATTCACTTTGATGGCTTCTTGATGCGTGCTGTACAGAAATTATAAATAAATGAAACGTTTGAGAGGTTTGATGAAAATTGAAAATGCTGGAATGAGAAATTGAAGGGACTCCATTCACGGTTTGGCCACCTGCTCTTATGACTGAAGCCGAATAAACTCAAATTAGATTTACTCACCGGATGGTTGGGCTACGTTTACGTAGCAAAAACGTTTTCTACTAAAATGGGGAAGAAAATGTCTAAATTAGCCTCTGAGCTGACAAAGCAGGAACCTTAAGATAAGTATAAAAGGATGAACACTTGGACGATCCAGCATTTTCAACTCAAAGTTAAGTGCAAAACAGTCTTCAAGTCACAAAGAGAAGAACAACAGTATCACGATGATAGGTAAGTGGAACATCATCTGCTCTATCATTTGTCGAAAGTGTCGTGAAAGGGACTATTCAGTGAAAGACGTTTTCCATCCAATGCATTTGAAACTTTTTTTCTGTATTTAATTGTAAGCAATAAGGAATGAGAATTAATTTTCTTTTAATTTTGTCCACAAGAATTTCAAGAGTGCTGATTGTACTTTTTGTCCAGGGCAAACCTCTGATTTTTTTTCTTTTTTCATGTTTATATACTAAATCATCAATGCATTATACTCTAGGAACACGAACACTTTTTCCTTTTTATGGACTCCTTCTGCTTTTGCTGTTATCACACAAAATTCAAGGCGAGGACGCCTGTAGTTCGGCATCATGCCATCTCCAACATTCAATCGATCGACTGTCCCGTTCGGCGTATTCTCTCACTAACTTGACTTCTCATGCTGCTAGCTTTATGGTAAGTTGTACGATACTTTTTCATTCTTTAAGTAATTGCAGGATAAATTCGTATTTGTGACATTTATGAACCTGGAGTTTTTGAAACCAAGTCAACGAAAGTTTTAACATTTTTCTCTTTTTTTTTGAGACTATAGTATCAAACCTAAGCCTTAATGTAACGCTCTTCTTCAATCTGCACTTTCCATTGTGATACTTCTGATATTTTAAGTCAACTAGGTACCATGTTGTGGCTTAACGTGGCCTATCGTGTTTGAAAGTACCCTGTTTGTGAGCAACTCAACAACCCGAAAATTTAAAATTAATTTTCAGTAGCTTTACATTTTCACCCTAAAAAGCTCGACATTTTCATTCATCTTGTTTTCCCTTTCGTAAACTTCCATCTAGTGAATTTCAGTCCCTCAAACAGTACAAACTAAATAGACCTATATCCTTTTGTTTTGATGTAGGTTTTCCTAGGATCTCAAATTCTCAAGGAACTGAAAACCTTTTTAAAAATTTAAACCTATCATTTACCTTTTTGTTGCAGAAATCTGATTATAACATTTCGGATTACTGTAACCCAGCATGTACTTCCCTGGCTGCTACAATAATGGCAGATATGAACCTCACTACACCCAACTTTGCTAATGAGTCGGTAAGCCGCTATATCCTAGATTAATGAAGATATTATTGTTTTGCAATGCCCTCATTTCACAGATTGTGCTTCGTCGTACATTCCTTTAAACGTAAAATTTGAGGGTTTCTTTTTAATATTACTCGGTACTTAGTATTACGATACACACACGTATTTTGAAACATTTTACAACAGTTCTCCTTATTTCGCCACACGTTCTCCTAAGAGGTGTAAGTTCTGTAAGATTAAGCAGGTTACTTAATTTTATTCGTTTGTATCTTTTTAGAGAAGTAACATATTGGAATTTTACCGAAGAGTTGTGATTGGCTATGGATACCAGCTCACGCATTCCATAGTTGAATTATTACGAGTTCAGAAAGCATCGACTGCTCCAACATATTTGACGAAGTTGAAAAAAGAACTGAAACTCATCAAACCCTTGATTACAAGAGCAGTCAATCTCGTAAGTTGTTAATAATTTTTCTCCTTACATTTCATACTGTATCTCAGTTACTTTACCTCTCCAAAAACTGCATAGTATAGACAAGTTATGAAAAGATAACTTAAGGTGTATCCTTTAAGAAACATAAGATATATCTTTTTGTTTTCTTCATCGGCTCTTGCAGTTCACGAGACAAAGTGGATTACATCTCATTCCATTTTATTATTTTGTCTCTTTTCCAGGATCGGCAACTCAAGGGCCTTCCTACACTTGGCACCACAGCTGCCATCCCACCCAATCGCAATTCAAGGCCTCAGTCTCAGTCCCTCAGCTCTGTCGTATGCCATCTCAAGGAATGTGTTTTAAGTGACCTCGAAATATGGTCGAATGAAATGTTCATAGATTTTAAGAAATTAAAAGATAGTTCATAAGATGAAAATTCGCTATTGCTGCCCGGACAACTTCATCGTTTTACGAAAAGTTAAATTCAGGTTATTAATTTTCATTGCGCTCTGTGAGCTTGAAATTAATTCATAGCAGCTATGTATTTACTCAGTTACTATAGTTTTTAAAATTATGACAATTAAGCTATGGCACAAGGAGAGGATTTATTTATTTATTCAACAAACGTTGATACTAATACAGTGAAAATGCAAATGTACCACCCATTCCATGTAACTTATGGGAATAAAAAGAATGTATACAGCATTATACTGTTATCTGAGGTTCACTATTCACAATAAAATTTGAAAATGCTCTAGAAGTCAATCTATGCAAGCTGGTCACACCATGCCTTGTGACTTAAGTGACACTCGTCGGATTCTTCTTGGTGCTTTAGGGATGTCCACCTCCCACAAACTGCAAATGGAAGCAACTAAGAGATAATTTTATGGTCTCTTGAAACAAATGACTAACCGCAGTAGAGCCGTAAAGTGCGATGATAAGTTAAGGTTGAGGTTACCACGATTTTTTGGCTTTTTAAAGTATAATTTCAGTCATTCGGCCACACCTGATCCACGGAATAGCACATCTTCGCAGCCATACTAACTATGTTGAGTATGAACATATACGCAGCTGAAAATCACGATGCAAGCCTAAACATTATACTCAACCGGTTGGAAAGCACTTTCTTACTTATGCGTTCAACTCTTATCAAGGTTATCGTATAAATTCACTCCAACATCCAATTTTTAAAATTGTTTTCAAATATTTTGATGGAAAAAGTACTTAGTCAAAGAGGATATATTTTTAGAATAGTGGACGATGCTGGAAGCCCTTTTTGAAGTTTAATAAAGGTGATAGAGATTTAATCACAAAAGCAGGGTTATTCACCTACTGTTGTGAACTAGTCTTGCACAATGCTTTTGGGATTTTAATGCGATACTGCTCACAGCAGGAACCTCGTCAATTATTATAGAACTCTTTGAGAACCCGGGGTTGTTATTGAAACTGACAGTTGCCATAGTAGTGCATCATGATAATTATGTTAAAATCTACTTGTGTGTACCTGCTCTTGGGGTCATCAATTATTTATTCATTTCTTAAAGAGAATGCAGCCAGGATGAAATAAAGCGAGGAAACATTAATAGGACCTGAAAGATAGTTATTAGCCACGCATCCATCTCAACATCATGGGACGGAATGGGCGGCGCTGAGAGTTCAAACAAAACAATGTTTCAAGGTAGGTTCTTCAAGATTCCTTGAAGTGCAAACCAATTGCCGCGAGCAAAGTTTGTCCACTCTACCATGGCTGCCGAGCGATTTTCAAAGATCTCGTATGTATGTTTACAGTCATGACACACGATATTACACTTAAATTTGCTCTGCTTCGATCTGCGGAAAACGACATTTCGTGGACAGAAAATGTAAAAAGAATAGCCGGCCTTCGTTCATATTTAAAATGGATGCACTTAAATATAATTTGTTTTGACATAATCACTCTGAGGCTTAAATTCAATGGTAGCATATTTTGAATGTATGATTCTTGACAGTTGTCTAATTGTCGAGTGAGTGCCCTGAGAAGGGCGCCTGAAGAAGTTCGATGGTGTCATGTGTTTTCTCCTTTGTGTCTTCGTATCTGCTTGGCATCTTCTTTCGAAACTGAAGGGCTTTTACCTCTGATAGCAAAAAGTTCATTTTTAATTTATTTTGCAACTTCAGTGTCATATTTAAAGATCCTCGTATTGAAGAAGTGAGAAAAGGAAAGCGATGCTGAATATTGATTCACCCGTATGCAAATACAAACCTCGTAAACGAACATCGTCCAATTGAAGTGATGTGATTATCATAAAAGGTTTCTTTCATAACTTCTCATTTATAATTGGTTTTATAAAATTCCGTGAGACTGAGTTGAGCTGAGTTGTTTACAACTTGAGACACCTCTTCAATTAGATAGTCAGCGCTTGAGGTTGAAATTTGAAATTGCTGTAAAAGCCACGTCTATCGGGCTGACTAACGGTATTTCTTAAATTTTTCTTGACATCAACGCTTTTAGGTTAGAGACTATCAGAAATTTCGTTTTAGTCAGATACTGAACGAGTGAAATAGTTTTCAACTGATAAACGATTAACAAACCTAATGTTATTCGAGAAATCTTGATAGACTCTGTGATTCACTAATTTTGGAAAACATCGTGGGTGATAAGGTGAACACAGCTACCTTCATCCAGCTGAGTTCTGAAAGAAACTTTGATGTGGCATCAGTGAAGGAAAAAAAAAGACGAAGATAAGATAAAGAAGTATATTTTTCTTGTATTTTATACAATACTATTCAAACAGCATTGACATATGGCAATACCTATTGTCTATTCAAAGCGTCATGAACGCGAACAGCTTCAGAAGTATCCAGAAATTGCCCTGCGGCGGTGCATTTAAAAATTAGTGAAAAACTTCCTTTGCCATTCGAGCGAGTACGCGCCACCAAGTTCTGAAGGAACCCAAGGACAAGAGCAACTCGTGGCCGAAAAATTTCTATCGTCGCTTGAAGAATGGTAAAAATGAACAACAATTTAACGATAACGGCTCTTCATTTGCTCGGATAATTTTCCGCGGTCATTATTTGTCTCGCCGGAGAAGGGAAGAATTTTTTTCCAGAGCTGGGAGTGAAGAGAACACATCGATGAGTTTTCACGGAAGGTCAAGCTATCTCAGTACTCTCTGAAAACTCTATCTGGGTGAGTGCAAATCACTCATGATCGTATCGTAACAAGCTCTCTGTCTCTATTGCCCGTTAAGCTACCTTGATCTATAATCGTGAAGTAAGGCATAGCTATCGACAAGCCATTCGAGGAAATTGATTTTTCAGGCTGTTGAACCGTGCACTTTTCAAATTACACGTCTGAGAACGTTACTAAATTCCGGATTTCACTCCTCCAGAATACTAGTTCGGGAAAACTAATAATTCTCTGGACTTCGTATTACCTTGCGTGGCTTACAGTGTAAATGGGGCGATTAAAAACGTGTATATTTAAAAGAAATTCTAGTCAATTGCAAGCAACTGATAGTAGACTACGTGTGCACGTGTCACTTCTCGCCTCAATTTTCTTTTTGCATCCTCTCTTTAGTTTCCAAACATAGTTCGTCACCTCACTCAGAGAAAGATCAAATGCTGGAGGGAAAGAGTCCTGAGTCAAGCTGCAAAAATAATTTAGGCGACGAGGAATGCGAATGTCCCCATGATGAACGTCTGTCCAAGTTTGCGCACTTCAAGCAAGTCGTCAACGGTGAGTAGAAAGGCAGCTCAAGCTGGTTTGACAATCACGAATGCATTAATAGACTACGGGTATAGGTGGACTAAAGGCAAAGAAAGAAGAGGGAACGAATGGCGAAAGAGGTCTGGGGGTGATGAAACCTACAGTCATTTACAGCGGTCTTTTCCAAAACAGAAAAGTGTCATGCGCATAAGTTCTTGTTATTCTTCACCTGCTGATTTCGTTACGTTCTGCGAGATATTCTGCGGGATTTTACCTTCTACGGATTTTTTAAGTAATGGGTCAGGACTTAGGAAAAACAAGCAGACTCTTAAGTAAGCATTTCTCACACTGTTTTGCAAATTTCTGGGATTGCCGTGGCCGATCTGCTGACTTTTCGTCTTGTTTCAGGCATTCGGCGAAAAGGTGGAAAGAGAGGATTGGACACGAAATCGGATCTTGGGTCGTCTACAGGTAAGAAGTTGAGCTTGTTTTCCCGTAAATAACCGATGAAAGTCCCAAGGTTTGTCAAGGGCTGTGATTTATACGCTTACTAAATTAGATGCAATATAACTGGGGTGCATCTGTGGGAATTTGACCAATAATCAAATTTTTTTTGCACAGCAAGTTTATACATTTGTCTAGTAAGTTAGTTCATGTACATAGTGTTTGATAATTTAATTTATCTTCTTTACATTTACACGTTGGGGAGACATGTTGTATCGTAAATTTACTTTAGTCTTATGTTCTACAGTAGCTCTTTCTTTTTGCGATTCAAAATGTATTCGATTCATCGTTGTTTTGTTTATAGTTACATGTTCAGGAGACATTTTGTATGGAACATGTATGTTATACATGCACCAGTATTCTCTCTCCAACTATATTTAACGTTAACCTACTGAAAGTCAAACATATCATGTTTGTGTTCAGTTCTGACTGCAGATTTACACACACTGTTCAAGACTTCTGAGAAAGATTTCCGTATAACCTCGCGCCGTACTAAAACAAAGCTGTCGTTCCAAAAGCAACCAATTGTTTTCTTTATCCAAGAACTGCATGTATAATGAGTATGAGGCTGTGTGGAAATATTGTTGACTTCTATACTATATGTGGTGGTGAAAATTTTCACTTTGTTTAAAAATTATTTAACCTGCTTGATTGTGATTTTCCTTTGCTGTAGACCTATTGATGTAACCTTTGACAATGGAAAACATTCTATTGGTTTGGGAATTTTATAGACCAAGTACAATTTAAAAAAATCATTGATAACCTTTTGTGACAACAATTGCTTCATATGCCCTGTATGTCGTGGTAGATGATAATTTTATTTCGGGTGCTTGTTGTTTACATGCATTTTTTTGCAACAAATTATCTGCCTTGCCAGTACTGTCTGATATTCTGAACTAGATCTTAATATGCAGTCATTTGGCAGCAAGATAAGCCATGTTTTGAGAGCACAATATTCATTGTAGTATTTTTTTATCTGCCCACTGTAATCCTAGACAATGATTATATCCCACAAAGATGAAATGGAAAATGGTATTTTTTTTCCTGCTATAATACATGTGGGAACCACTTTTTATACAATGCATTTCTGGCAAATCACATGTCAAATGGTGAAAATATCTTTGCTCAACATCCAGTCTTTCATTCCATTTCTGTGCTTTAGTAACAAAGTCTGTTTTGTATGCTCTTTGAAGCTTTCTTAGCTGTCTTGGGCAGGTTTGATATGTTAACGTGAATGACTGAGAGAGTCTGGCAGAAACAATTTACTTGTGATAATGGCCTTACTTAGTCTTACTCATATCACCCTCTTCCTGCAACAGGGTAGTGAATATTTCCTACATGTGTGTTTGAACATCAATAAATTGCTTACACTCCTGTGTAAAATGGTGTTTATTTATTGATATTATGGGTAGTTTTAAATGTAATTGGCTAACTATCTTTATCTTCAGATCAAAATGCATTCACTCATGTTCAATAGAGTGGAAAGTCAGTTCCTTGTTTTAATTTTATTGTCTTCATTTTCATATGAATACCAGGAACAGGTACATAAAATCCTGTTTTTATTTCAAAGCAAAACTTTCCTTTCTCTCTGGTCAAACCCTGAAATCCTATCACCAATACTTTCAATCTTATAATAATTCAAAACATTGTCCTCTTCCTCAGCAGGTTTGAATAATCATGATTCCCCCTTGTGTTGAATTATTAATGAACTTCTATTGTGCATGTACACATTATGAATCTGCATTAGTTCTGTGATGAAATGAAGAGTTGTCTCTGATGTATAATGTGATCATATCTGTAATCAAATCTGTATAGTTTTAATTTAATCTTGATTATATTCAGTACAAGGACTCGGGGAAATTTTTGGTTTTCATATACATTACTTTATATATAGCAACATAACATATGTCAGAGCATGTTAGAAGGCAAATGTGTTGACATTTTAAAGTTGCATTTTAGGCTTATTTGATTCAAACCACATGTTGTCACTGGCTGCTGCCTTATTTGAAAATCACTTGTGGTTGGATTATTCAGTAGGATGAGTGCATTTACATGTGTTCTATATTTTATTTAAGATTAGAATTCACCAACACAGAGAACTCTAAAAATTACTAATCAATGTAATCTTTGAGCAGGTTTACATCCCTAAAACAAAATAATGTTCATTTATACATGTGCAAGGCTATTGGTCTAAATTTTCACTTTTTACTACTATTCATATAGATTTGTTATGTAGGTAATTAAATATGAAAACATGATTTTTTTATAATTCAGTACACTATTTTCCCTTTGCTGTTTTGCCTCTTTGTTTGCAATCTTCCATTAGAAACATATAGTCATTCCTTAAAATTTATTTAGTATGTGTACAACCATCAGATGACTTTTGATGGTTTGTCTTCTTTTTTTTTTTTTGTCTAAATGTTGATCCAGCTTCCTCCAACTAAAAGTGGCTTTAAGATTTTATTACAGACAGGAACACAACAATAGTATTAATTATTGATAGAAATGTGTAACTATGTACTTATGCATGCGCATATTTATGTACATGCAGTAATTGCTAACTGTCAGGAAAAGGAAAGCATAAAAGGTGAAAACAAACACCACTCACAAAGTATTTTATATGATATTTTACATTTTATATTTATTTACTCATACATTTAGATTTATGTGTCCGTGTAGATGGATATGATACAAATGCATTTTAGAGACATCCATGTCTTGGCCAGTGAAATCATGATGGGGAATGGCTTCAGCAATAGTTAAAGTACAGCATTGAAGATATATGATACTTGTTTTAATACTTGTTATGACCACATTTATCTGGACCAGTTGTTGGCTTATTCTTGTCCCTTCTAATGTTGGTCTTTGCTAGACTGTTTACAAACTCTGTCTTCATTTTCTTTCATATAGACCATGACAGTAGAGATGCCAGTTTACATTTTGGAGTACGAGTGGAGGGAATTGAAGAGCTGATGTCAAATACAAAATTCACCAGACAGGAATTACAAAGGATGTACAGAGGGTTTAAAAATGTTAGTGGCTTTACATGAACATGCATATGGCTGTTAATTTGATTGTAATGTGTATACCTGATTCATTAGTTTAATTTGATGTCCTCTCCTATACTCTGCGTGGAAGTATATGAGCTGATGGATTACTGTTTTCAATTACTGTGCTCTGATTTGTTTCTAAGCACCAAGCTAATAAGGCTCAAGAAGAAGGGGGAAGCATTACCTTTTATAGTTGAAAACCCTGTTCATTTTATCTGTTCCTTCTGCATTGTGCATGTTTACAACAGAGAAGAGATAAGTGAAGTTAGAACTAGCATTTTTTAGACCATTGAGTATTTTGAAACATTGTAACTGTAATTGATTTTCACTCATTTTTCAGGAATGTCCTAATGGCACAGTTGACAGAGATACATTTAAGAAAATTTATGCCCAGTTTTTCCCATATGGAGGTATAGTAGTTTATATAAATAACCATTAAGTAATTAATCATTCGAGAAGAAAATTGGTTTTATAAATCCCTATGGATATTTAGTAGACCTTTGAGGGCTAATTTCTTTCTTTCTTTTTTTTTTATGTTCCACCCAGAGATCTTTACTATCTGTCTGTGTTTAAAACTAGAATGCACTTGGAGAAAGATAAAAAGGAGAATAGTTTTATTAGTGTAACTGATTACTGTATGTGAATAGGGTGAATCAGATTACATGATTGTATATTGAACAGTTATTATCTTCCAGTTACAGGTTTTTGATTTTATGGTTGATGATATTATCTGTATCTGCAGCTTACAGTAAATAGAAATGTATTGTGGAGTGTTGGCCATAATATTTTAAGGACCATTTTACTTTTAACAACTGAATGCGATTCACTGGTGTGTAACTGTACAGATTGATCTGCTTCATTTACCTGCTGTCAGAAAAGCAATTGCAAAGAGATCTTTTTATCACTGGGGTTGTATTGATTTTAATAAATTTTCTAGATAATGATATATTGAATAAGCATTTATTTTTATTGTAAAATTTTAATATTATGTATAAGTTGACATTAATTTTTTGAAACTTTTGTATAGAATTGATTTTATGAAACTTCCATGTAACATAAATTTTATGCAACTTTTATATGACAGTTATGTTACTGTGCTTCTGTTGATAGCAGGTTGCTTTCAAGCACCTGAAAAGACCACCTTGAACCTAAAAATTAGATTAAGGCGTCTGTCCCTCTATACTGCGATGTACAGAGTACAATTTCACATACAGTGTTCAACCTACTCCTAATTGTCAATACTGTTGTACACTTGGCTCAATATCTGTTTTCTGTTTAGATTCAAGTCTTTATGCAAACCATGTCTTCAATGTGTTTGACCATGATAGGGATGGAAAAGTCTCTTTTGAGGTAACTGATTTTTGTACAGGCACCACATTTTTAAACATACACCTGTATATGTACATTTATCTATAAAGCAGGGAGGTAAATATCCAATGCTCTCATTGACATTACGGTGAATATTTTTATTCATATACATGTACATGTATGCCACACGGATACCAAAATCTAAGTTTATTCCTTTTAATATACTGAAAAATGTTCAGAAATTAAACTCTTTATGTGTAATTTTGCCTCATTGTCTGAGCAGAGGTGTATAATACTTGCTAGTCACTTCCAAACTAGCAAATCAACACATGCAAAAAGTAATATTAACTTGTCTGGTGTGTACTAAAAGCTGATATAAACTCATATTATTTTGCAATTTTATTGTCACGACAATAAACATACAGGAACTTTTCTAAAACACTAACATAAGTGAGGTGTTATACAGTGAGACAAGTGTATGACTATGCCACACTTAGTGAAACTCTTAAGTAAAAGGGGAATAGTTTAGTGATGTCAATAAAAATGAGGTCAAGAGAAGTGAGACAAGTGTATGACTGTGCTGCACTTCTCTTGATCTCAATTATTTCACTAAATTATTCCTCTTTCCCTTAGGAGTTTCACTGTAAGTGGAAACCTTTTGTAAAATTAAGATTACAATTCAAGCAAATGCACAAAACACAGTTGAACTTTAAAATGTGTAAGATTGGTTGTTCCTGCTTGTTCAGTTTTAAGGTCACTGTAGTTACTGTATATTATTTTATTATTTTGAATTATAATATGTATTATTTATTCATGAGTGTAGCGAACTTATTCTTATTATCATTTCAAGAAGTGGTAACTGTCAAATGCAGTAGTCACTGTGGCTATAGTCAGAAGATGCTTGATGAAAATTCTTATTTAACCCTTTAACCCCCAAGATCTCATTAATGGTTCTCCTTACTGTCTGTCATATAGTTCTTGTGATGTTAGTTTGGAGAATTTGGTGTTGGATCAACTAATAATCCCCTAATTAATATTTCTCATCACTCTCATCAGTTGTCTGCTTGATATTGTATTGATATTGTGAGGAGAAATTCTGTCTTGGAGTGAAAGGGTTAAGACAGCTGTTGTTAATTTCCTAGGACTTTGTTACTGGCCTGTCATTGTCACTTTATGGCAGTAGGGAGGAAAAAATGAGATGGGCATTCCAGTTGTATGATCTCGATGGTGATGGGTTCATAACAAGAGAGGTTGGTTTAAACAAATGCATAAAATCTTTTATTTATTTAGTATACACATTTTTTAAAAACATACAAACATGTATGATCAAAATTCTACCACCAGTGTTGATTATGTTCATGCACATGCATTGTACTCAACTTAAATACTTTTAAAGTGGTAGAATCCAGAAAACGAGTCTTTTCTGACTATGCATGTAATTTTTTGAGGTTTTTCCCAGTACTCATATTTTTTTTGTTTCCAATTCTTACATAGAAGTCCATCTTCATGTCAATCTTATATTGTGAAGTTGTACTTATTTAAATTTGTACATCAAAGACACTTTTTTTTTTGTAAGGATGTAAAACATGTACATGCACATAAAAACATTTGAGAAGGGGAAAGGGAGGGCTTTTGCCTCACTGTCAGCAAAATGAATTTAATTTTTTTCATAAAGGTATAAACATTTGGTCTATAATGATTGTTATTATAGGAAATGGCTACTGTGGTTCATTCAGTGCACTGTATGATGGGTATTGACACACTGCCTACAGGTGCTGAGATGGGTGTTGATGAACAAGTGGAGAGACTATTTATGGTGAGAAATGAGCACACATAGTTTTAGCAAGTTATACTGTGTGTATGTGTCATTTAAAACTAAAGGCTATGGTTGGCATTATAAATGTCTGCTAGAATGGGGCCTTACCCATAACCTGAAACCTGAGGTACATGTTACCAATGATGATCATGAAGGTGTTATGCTACACCAGCATCTGGGTGGGCATATAGGAGCTTACACTTTGCTTCATACAATCTTATTGAAAGTTATGTGACAGAAAAAAAATTTATTCAAAAATTGAACAAAGAATTTGTATACGAATAAGGTCTAAACTCTAAATATGACTGAGCAATTGGGAGTAAATGAAGGGGTGGTCATTTTGATTGGAAACTAAATATCTATACATTGTATTAAACAAAAATCAGTTAACTAAAGATTGTCAACTGGTCTGATTTCTTGATTCTGGGACCAAGTATTACCTAAACCCCGAATCCATTGTAGTTTGGTGTAATATTTAGTACTACATGTACTTTCTTAATATTTCCTCTAGCTAATGGACAAGAATCAAGATGGTGTTATATCAGAAGAGGAATTTTTACAAGGTTGTGAAAAGGTAAGGACATAAAGTTCACCAAATTACAGTGTATACCCTTTGAATGATAAAGACATGTCTATATGCATATATAATGCAGTATCTAGTGGGGAAGGAATTGTGTGGTCTTCATCAAAGTGAGGCTCCTTTCTTCCTATAACTTCTTATCCTAGAACTTAGTTTACATGTACTTGTTGGTAACAGTACATTGTACAGCTGTGTATGATCAACCAGTCATATGGCACAAGATGTTGTCAGCTGTTTCTGATTCATAGACTTTGGTTTTATCAACTGAGTTGATAATGTAAGTTGGCCACTGTTAGGAGTTACAATTTCAAACATTGACCCTTCATTAGAAAGAAAGGTAAGGGCTAATGGTTGATACTTCAGCTTTAGAAGATCTTTACAATGGCCAATTTACATCATCAACTCAGTTGATAGAACCAAATTACAGCAACTTGTACTACCCCTCACTGAGGCAGCATATCAGTTTCTTTAGAAACTTATTACCCTTTGATTCATATACTTATGATTTTTGAAATTTATTACTAATAGTTAAAGTGGAATATATAAGTAGGATAATTTTTCCTTATCATCCAACTGCACAGAGGAGAGTACAAATAATGCACAAATCGAGTACAGATATCCTACAATATTGTACAGTTGGTTATTTTGTACTGTAAAAACACTTGTCAACCTTTCAGCTACACATGCTAGGCTTCTTTAATCTGCCTGGCTTTTCTCATGTTTTAAGAAATGTGCATGAAATAAAGCAGTTGGTTAATAAATAACTTATCAGACATTTTTGGTGTGAAGTAGGGCTGATTATTTTTGTTCTTTGTTAATATTTTGACCCACCCTATGGGCTCCTAAAAATATGGCACAACTTGTAAAAATACTCAGCAATATCTGTTAACAAACAATGTGTCTGAGTCAACATAGTTAACCATTCTGTGCATTGGTCTCCCTATGGGACACTTTGAAAGCAACAGGCTGAAATCTTCCAAATTTATAAAACTCATCAGATGGATTTCATTTATTAATATTTGATAATTATTATTGATTGACTTTTCAGGATGAGTCAATAAAGCAAAGTCTGGCAATGTTTGACTCTGTTAGGTGAACAGAATACAAAGACAAGAAAATAACCAGCAATGACAAATTGATGTTAATTTATTATTAATTAATACTAATGCTTCATTAATTATAAAGAAAGTATTGTGCTATTTATGGCTATCAAAGGAATTGCTCAGGAATTTTGATATGAAATTGAAGATGTTCTAATCAATCACTAATAATTTAAGGTTGTCATTATAATAATGAGTGTTGTTGCTTGTTTTTCTTCCAAGCACCAGGAGTTATCAATATAAGATATTACAATATTCTTTTATGTAAATGAAACACTACACTGTTAAAAAGAGGGTATGTTAGATAAAAGGTTAATGTAGCCAAACCCCTGGAGTTTAACTTTCCTCAGATTAATTGTAGAATTTTATGTGGTACCACAATCTGGTACCATGACAAAAATTTTTAAAACTTGGCAAAGTGTTTTTAAACGAGAAAGCAAAAGCTTTGGATCACTTAAGAAGGCAATTAGGACTTCATTTATCATGAACCATCATCATGAGGACATGATGTATAATTTAGATTCCACAGGATATGCCAATTCAACAAGCTCTGTGAGTAGTGGCTCTCACAGGTGTAATATAACAGTATTCAATTGATCTACTGTGGTGGGACCCATCAATTTTTTAATGATGAAGAACAAATTTTCTTGTTAGTTGATATAGAAACTCAGATAGCTATAATCAAATTTATTTATTATGGTTATAATCCATATTTAATGTCAAGTCTTATGAACCAATTTAGATATACAGCAACATTATTCTGAGGTGAGGTATTGCAACTCAGTAAGGATGCTAGCATTTTGAATTGTATTATTTACCTAATATTAAATTTTTTACAAGGCAGTGTGCCTATTTATGCAGTATCTATATTTAGTATTGCAAATATTATTATGTACATGCTGATGTTACTGATAAACGTGGATTAAACGATCTTCCACTCAGCATTAATTTCCAATTGTTCATGGCTAGTTGTTTTTGTCAATGGTGCATTCTGGGTACAGTACAAAAAAGGCTCTGGCAGATCCTTTTTGTACAGTAAGCCAAAAGTTGTTCCTGTACAATCCAGTGTTTAAGCTTAATGAGATGTGATACCTGAGCTCTCTTAAGCAGTGTTTTCGATTTGTTCGAAAAAACTTTACCCTTTACACCCTAACATCAGTATGCATATTCTCTATACTGTTCTCCATACATTTCCAAAGAAGCTGACAAGGAGAATTTGTTTCACAATCAAGAGCTTCTTTGGTTGGTGATCATCTCGTCTATCCTCACGACTTTCATGATTGATTCAGGGGTGATATAGTAAGGAGAAATTAGATGCTAGTCACTCCAAGGGGCTAACGGGTAAAGAAAAGTGCGCCAGAATCATACGCAAGGTTGAATGTAAACAGGTGAGAGAAAGTTAACATAAAATGATTGAACATAGAACTGACCAGAGGTTTACTTCTTTGGAGGAAAAAACTCCAGTGTAGCCTACTTTGCAAAACTTTATTAGAGAATATCGTTGGTTTTTGCAGTAGTTTACAACGTCACTGGGTTAACTCGATCACTGAACACATATCTTCTCTAAACAAGAATAGAAACCTAAGAGTTCTAAGAATCTCAAGGAAACTTAATCATTTACATTTACAGAGGCTACAGTATGAAATGTTTTACGATTTTTTACTTTTTTGCCTCTGCAAACCTACCTACATCTTGAACGAGACCACAAAATATTTGCAGAGTAAAATAGAAAAACCGTAAAGAGGCGATATTTAACTAAATGAGAAAAGCCATGACTGAGGATAAGGAAGATTTATACGGATAGCTAATAGTGACCATTGTGAATAGGACAAACTCTTCAAATTACACCAACCGTGATGTAAATTCTATTTTCAGTAAAGAAGCTGCTTTTCATTTAATTTAGTTAAGGAAGGATTACAGCAGCAACCGAAACTACGTCAAATTATCAATGAAAACAGCCAATGATCTGCGTTTTTGACTCCCTTTTGGATTTTTAACTACTTTTAAGATAATGTGGGAGTAAGTTATTGTTTGCCTTAACAGTTTTCAATTTTTTGGGAATTCCTTTTGTGAAGTTCACAATATCAAGGATCTCTTGGTAAAATACACAGAAGTCACATTTTTGTGTTGAATTATATAATAACCTTCAAACGAATATAGGAAATGTTGATATCTGTTTTGTTTTGTTATTGTATTGTTATAGATGAAGGAATACTTGAATTATATGTTAATTTGACGAAGACTTTGAGTGGAAATGACCTGTCATTTTCCTGAAGGCTCTGTTATCCTTTTGTGATTAAAAAGTACGACGGAAAGATAGGTGCAAAAAGGATCGAACCAAAGAGAGAGAGGATTGTCTTTCAACACATTCTCAAAAACGAGGGCAAACGAGGAACAACAAAACTCACGTGATGTGCTTTCAAAATGAGTGAAAAATGGAGAAAGAGCTGTACTTCTCCTGGAATTTTTTTGCCATATACACTTAATTATTTTAATCATTTCTACATTTTCATTTATTTCAATTTTCGTGAACCTTTGGAGAGAGGTAACTAATGATGATAAATTGAAATTTTACATTGCAACATGAATATGCAATACAACTTGCATTAGCATTTGATGTCAAAAAGATCTCAATGCTTACACGGTTAATTCCTCTCACGTCTGCATTATCGAGTAAGATAAAGCGCTAATTAAGCGGGTTCATATTATCAAACTGATCACCTGCTCAAGTCATCAAGGTAAACGTTACTTTCGACACGTTCGGAACCTAACAACAAAAGGTTAACACCGGACAAGCTATTAAAGCTTCAGGGCAATTTGCATAGGGATTAGGTTCCATTGTCAAAGGCACTAATAGCATCGCCGTCTCCCACTGACATTTTAGCGAACCGTCACGAATCTAATCGTGCTGCCCTCTACTCACTTAGTGAAACAAATTGCAAGGATTCTATGCAACAAGACACAAAATTTTTCTCTTGCACGATGTTTTTCCCCTTCATTTGATTCAAAAGGCCTTAGGGAATGAGTAATTCATACGACATCCCGCCTCGCATGACAAGAAAACAAACATGAAAACTCGTTTTCTTGTTTCCAATTGGTGAGGAGAACATTTCCATGCGCGTTTATTCAAACAGGCCAACTTTCTAGCAGGGCTGTATTTGTTCTTAATGACGCAGGAGCTCTTATATATCCGTTTCTTAATATTTCCCAACTGGACCTCAGAATTTACACTTTGAATCTAGAAAAAAGGAGAAAAAAATCACACACCCTGAAGGTAATTAAACAAGAACAGGAAGCTTAGGAGTGAATCTTTTTTACTGTCCTTGTTATTAAAAAAATTACAAATGATATTCATATGAAGTGATGTAGAGTCGTGTTTGAAGGCAGTTCAAATAGAATCTGCAAATAAACTGTACATTGGGAACTTCTGATTTGCAGTTTCTCGCGCTTGAAATATTTAAATAACTCCTTGTTACGATGCTGTAAATGCCGGATCAATGTGAAATGCTTTTCGGCTTTTATAGATGTTATTAGTCGAGCCGGTTTAAAAGCGTGCAGAGATTATTCATGCCCCTTGGCGATAGTTTTGTTTAATTATTTTTCACGTCACTCATACTCATCGTCGATTTTCTTGAAGCATATTTTGAAACTCTTGGTTTGGCTTGTGTGAAATAGTGCTCATCTATGTTGGAGGCACGCTACGAATCGCCATCGCTGTCTCAAGTTCCCTGAGTCGACGTGTCGTAAGAGCCGTTTTACCTTGTGGCTACCGAAACCTAAAACAAGAAACGACGTAACAGGATAAAATATACTTGGCATACAATGAAGCTTTTTTTGTTTGTCTTCTGTATTCTGGTAACCACTTCGAGCAAAGGACATTCAGCTGGAGTTAACCATGTTCATCACTGCGAGAATCCGAGAAGGATCTCCAACCTTGAGGCTGATTTGATTCTTGGTGGGTTGTTTCCTGTCCATGTTATGCAACCGACGGGTAAAGGGACACAACAGGAATACGATATCAATTTTTACGGAGTTAACTGGGTCGAAGCCATGTTGTTTACTATTAATGAAATCAACCACGATCCCCGCTTCTTCCCACTGAATTTTACTTTGGGCTATGACATCAAAGATTCATGCAACGATGTGCCTGTGGCATTGAAAGCTATCCTTGACTTTGTTCTCGATGCTGGAAATACGACTATCGACAAAATTATCTCCAAGAATTGCTCTACTCGGTATTGCAAATGTACTGACAAGCAGACACTTATATCTGCAGTAATTGGAGCGGCCTCATCGCCGATATCCACTAACGTAGCAAATCTTCTAGGAGTAGACAATACACCTCAAATTAGCTACTCCTCTACAAGCGTTCTTCTCAGTGATAAGACTGTGTATCATTCTTTCTTTAGGACAATACCATCCGATACGTATCAGGCTCAAGCCCTTGCTGATTTGCTGAAACAGTTTGGTTGGACGTATGTGTCTATCGTTGCATCTGATAACGCTTACGGGCGCGCAGGGCTAGACTCCTTGCGATCAGAACTTAAAAAGAAGAACATCTGCATCGCTCTGGAGGAAGTTTTTAATCCCTCGCTGCCCCAAAATGAACTACGTCGCATTATCAAGTCGCTTAAGAGCACGCCACGCGTTAGAGTGATCATTTTATGGTGCGAAAGGCCGAATGCGCTAGGGTTCTTAAACGAAGCGTCCCGTAAAAGGTTGAAGGGCAAAACTTGGATTGGAACGGAAACCTGGGGAGACGCGTGGCAGCTGGAATCATTGGATGAAAACGTCGTAGGAGGGATGCTTGGAGTGCTGCCATTGCTGAAAAAGCATACTGCATATGAAGAACATCTGAAGAGTCTAAATCCAAACAATACCGATCATAATCCGTGGATGTGGGAATACTGGACAAAAAAATTTAACTGTAGCTGGGACACGGAAGGTTTAATGAACAGTACTTACAGCCGTGTCCATGTAAGAGAGAGAGAATTGTACGTTTACAAGACCAAGCATCCAAATATGACTATAATCTGTCCAAAATACTCACAGGCTGGTCCTCCAACTGGTGATCTACTGCCCCGGAATAAATACACAAATGTTATGGACGCTGTTTACGCAGTCGCTTATGCTGTGAAAAATATTTTGGATTGCAAGGATAGAGGCAGTTTTCTTCTGGATGCACGTGAAAAATGCCTTTCTGTTGATGAAATAACACCGAATGACATCCTGAAATTCCTAAAAAACGTGTCCTTCGAGGGAAGGTCTGGCTCACAAATCATGTTTGATGAAAAAGGGGATCTGCGTTACGGATCATACGCGATTAAAAACCTCCAACGGTCTGGCAATAACGAAATGAAATTTGTTGAGATAGGTAATTGGAGTGGAATTGATGGTAAACTTTCACTCAGTAACAATTCTAAGATCATGTGGAATGGTTGGAGTGCAGAACAACCAATCTCAACTTGTTCAGACGAGTGTCGTGCTGGGTTTTATCCGGTCAAAGAAAGTGTGAGATGCTGTTGGAAGTGCGTTGAATGCGAGACTGATTTTATAAAGCCTAAGGCTGGACAGGACAAATGTAGGAAATGCCCAAATGGTTACGTCTCCAACGCGCCGAGGACCAAATGCGTGAAACTGAAATCTGACTTCCTCTCCTGGGGAGATGGTGAAGGGATTAGTGCAGCCATACTCGCTGTTATTGGAGTTTTTATATCTGTCGGTGTCTTGGCAGTTTTTTACAAGTATCGCAACACAGCTGTGGTAAAAGCATCCAATCGAGAGCTCTCGTTCGTGCACTTGGGATGCATCGTAGCTATTTTCGCTCTACCGTTCGTGACGATTGGTAAACCAACAGTAGCTGGCTGCGCAGCATTTCCATTCTTCTTTGGAATTCCTTTGACCCTCTGTACTTCCATAATGCTGTTAAAGACAGACAGACTCCTGCGCATATTTCAAGCCAGGTCTCGGCTGACCGCTTCAAGCAGCTATCTCATCAGCAATAAGATGCAGGTGATCGTTGCGGTAATAATGACTTTAGTTCCAGTTATTCTGACAACCATTTGGCTGATTGTTGATCCACCCAATGTCATGATTAAGGTTGACAACTCAAGAGAAGGATGGCAAATAATTAGCTGCGACGAATCTCACGAACTCTTAAACATTGTTATTCTGGCGTACGTTTTGATTATTGCCCTGCTATGCACTTACTTTGCTTTTAAAGCCCGTAAGCTTCCTGAAAATTTCAACGAAGCAAAATTCATCTGTTTCGCCATGTTTGCGTTTTGTATTTTCTGGCTGAGTTTTTTTCCCGCCTATTATGACAGCACAGGCTCAACGCGCAATTTCGTGTTTTGTTTAGGAATTCTTAGTTCAGGCTATGCTGTTCTGGGCATCATGTACGTTCCAAAACTTCGCGTGATTCTCTTTCATCCTGAAAACAACACTACTGAGGCATTCAGGGCAACAACTATGGTGGCCATGAAGAAAGCAGGGGTAGTTGTTTCTTCCAATAGTGGGACGCCTCCCCGAATAACGCCACTTCCTTCCCCTGTACCTTCAAGGCGTAATTCTCTCGACTTGGTTGTTACAAATGAAGGAAGAACTTCTGCAGTGAGCATTGGTCGGACGATTTTACCATCATTGACTCAGTTAGGTCACAGTTAGTTTTTAATGAACAATGCTCATTGTTCCTTCCCCACTACCCTCAAGGCGTAATTTTCCCGAAACGGTTGTGACGAATGAAGGGATGACTTCTGCAGTGAGTGTTGGTCGTACGATTTTATAATCATTGCCTCAGTTAGGTCAAAATTAGTGTTTATATTTAACAATGCTCATTCTCTTGTTAAACTTACGACAGTACATTGGGTGGACTATTGCCATAACAATCTTGATTTCATGGCTTGACAAGAATGAACATAATTTGATTACTGGGAGTGAAATCCATAAAGAGAGCAATAAATCTTCGGCTGGCTTTGAATCTTGAGGCTCTAAATCTCTTCTCCTTATGTGATATCCTAACGACTCTGGTTTCGTAAGACGGAGTGAATAATTTTCATAATCGTTTGATGTTAGACATTTGCACTTGATTTAATAAGTAATACACAGACCTTTTACCCTAAATAGTATATCTAATCAGCTTAATTAATGTATCATGTTTTCAGGTGGAACTATCATAGATAATTTTAGAAAGAGAAAAAGGCTGTGCAGTGTAACATCTCATCGCTTTCTAATTATTTTTGGAATTAGTATTTAGTTAATAATTTTCGGTTTTGTTGTCTCATACTTCCTCGTTAATACTTTTGATTAGTTTGTCATCGTTTTGTCATCAGTTACACCTTCACTTTCGTACGGTTGCATATACCGAGCGTAGTTATGCATTCCCCTTGTGTAAAACCCGGTTTCCTTCTTAGCTTAGTTTAAGCTAGAGTTGCACTAAGCGCAATTTTCTGTTATTAAAGTACTCTTTGACAGTTTATGTAGGCGATATCAATGTAAGTATTTTGCCGTTTGTTTGTATTTCGTTTATCCTAGTTAAATTATATTTTATTCACGTCTTCAGTTTTATGCAACTTGTAAGCTTGTTTATGTCAAATTAAAAATCAGGGTTTGAAAAGATATCTCTTTTGCAGTTTCTACCATCCTTTTCTTCTGTGCCGCTGTGGCGTGTTGAAAGTCTGCGAAATCTATCAGCTACGAGATCTTTTTTAACCTTTGCTATGGATGGAACTTCTGAAGGAATTTAAGTCGCCGAGGTCCGCATTCTATAGAATGAATAAGATGGGGTTTGACGATTTGTCTCAAATTCAAAATTTACCGTTTGTGCCTCTCAATTAATACATCAAAAAGGTAAATTTTGGACTCTTTGCTCTATCCTCATGCGTAAATATCTCCACTGGCTTAAACATTTTAACTAATTAATAAACAATTAGACATCTTACCACAATAGACAATCTTTGTTTACCACAACCACCACAATCTTTGTCTACCACAATAGACAATCTTTGTTTTTTTTTTCCGAGAAAAGAGACGGATGTTGGTTATGAAATTCTACGAATTGTCGTAAAGGTGTTCATTGGCCCTTTATATTGTTTTGAATTTACAAAAGGTCAGTCAATTGATACGGTTCACTATTAAGAGAACTAACCAGCGAGCATCAACTGTGGCTTTCATCGGGTTTTTTTAGAGACATTTGGCGTGAGATTTGAAGGACAATTTGCAGTATACTTCCACGAAAACAATATACCGGAAGCAACTGCATAATTTCTAAGAATTCTAAGTTTTCATTGCTGATTGGTCCATAAATAATCTTAATCGGTGGTTGTTTTAAAAAGGTTACTGAAAGATGTATTTCATGTTTTACGGCACTCGAGGTACGAAACTCAATGAATTTTAGTGTGGTGCTTTCTGTCTGACGAATGAAGGACTTCCAATGTTTTTGAAGATGGAAAAACCGTTTGTAATTCATGAGGCCACAGACACTGTGATGTTATCATTTTCTCAGGTAAGAAACTTAAAACATCATCAGTTGCTGCAAGAGGCTGTCAGAGAACTATTACGCATGAATTATTATGCAATAATTTTAAGTAATGTGGAATACTAAATATTTCCTTTCACAAATAACATATTCAAGATCGTAAAATAAATCTCCTATAATTTTTTTCCACATCTGTGTTCCACAATTAGCATTTCAGCAGGTACCTTGACATAAAATAAGAAACAATTTTCTATAGAAAAATATTTAAAACATTTAGTTCCTTTGGCAAAGCTAACGTGCAAAGGGTTTTGTCCAGACATGCACTGAAAGGTCATTTCCTCCTTCAAAATTATTAATGAACCAAATAATATTTTCAACATTTCATTTTGTACATTTAATTTATTAACGTAACTTTTTTGTTCCAATCCAAAAGTATTATTGTTAGTTAATCGTCTGAGATTGGATAATGATTCTGCAAGATTTTATGACGATACAGAAACAAACAGCTAAATAAGTTAATCCCAGGGGTGGCAAAATATTCTTATTCAGCAATTCATTCATTTATTGTTTACAGCTGCGTTCTATTGTAAGTAGTGCTTCTAGTGAAGGATAGACTCATTGTCCATTACTTTTAACTTAATGCCGTCATTTAAGAATTGTTATTTAGTGCTTTAATTTGCAAGGCGAGGCTTTCAGCGAGGAACTTCAACCTTACGTAAACTGGCACATCGCAGCTACATGGAGCTACCTTTCAAATTCTAACACTAACAGTTCATTTGAGACAATCTTTTGGGAAAGAGCTTAAAAAGTAATGAATGAAGACGTACCAGCCATTTTATGCCACTTCACGAAACTTGAAGAGTGTCATATCAAACGTGATTATCATTTCAAGTTACCTTATGCATTTAAGTTATTCCAGAGTATTAAAAATAACAAGTTTTTTTTTTGTGCAAAATTAACATATTGGGAGATTACGTTTCGTTTGTCATCAGCAGTGTTCTTGAACCTGATATATCATTTCAGTTTCGATAGAAAACTGTTGGGAAATAGCTACTGGATGTAAAGGGGTATTGCCAATACAATGCAAGTTGTTACTGCCTGAAATATGTATATCTGTGTGTTTAATTCAGCTTGCCTCTTACACACCATATTAAAAAATATTTAATAATGAAGGAGAGCTACCAGCAGATTAAGGCAATTGAATAAGTTATTCGTTATGCATGTTACATAAGTGGCACATGATTTACTGTAGAAGTCTGGAAATGATAGATCACTTGGTTTTTGAAAACCCTTTTAGAATGTTGTGAGCACTGTTATTTTGTTAGGGGTCTGATGTAAGTTACAGATTTGTTCCTTTGCATTCTGTATATGGCCAAGACTCGGCCATTACGTCACCTTTATAATTTGCTTCTACCTTTTTTGGACAACCAAAGCAATCAGAGCAAGGTCTACACTTAATCACCATCAGCCATAATGACACTGATCAAAGAAATATTAGCAAACCTGTATTGTTGTAGTCAGACATCCAATATGGGAGGGTCTGTATATCCAAGGGTGTTTATAAATGGTTGTAACTTACCTTTATGAAATAATTTTTATTGTCCAACTTGTGGTTCTTCTTGGCCTCTCCTGTCAAACAAAGCATACAGTGTTTGAAATGTCTAACATTTAGTGATGGATAAATGATAGTGTTTAAAGAGAACACCGAAGTCGTTATTATGTAAAAGAACACGAAATTCAAGACACTCCATACGATGATCCTAAAAGAACATTTCCCATCTTTCTTAGCTACCTCTGGCATACCTTTTTTGAGCAGAATTCATTGAGGTTATAACTGTTAATGCATTGGCTGGAAACATTGATCAGCTGCATTTGGGAACAGCTTCATTAAGTAATATTTTTCTTGTTGTACATAGCTTGTTTACGTTACTTATTGCACTCACAATTATCTCTTTTATTTTAGCGCAGTTAGAAGGTGAGCGCTGGACGTTCAAACAGATATATACATTACACAAGTAATAGCCATCCTTCATAACCCACATTAGCGACGAGAAAATCTTCGAGTGGCTCTGGGAACGAAAACTTGCCGTCAGTCCCAGCCCTCACTCAGTCACTGACTGCGCAAGTGTGCAAGATGGCGATTTAGGTGGAACACGGTAACAAAATCTTATATATCTTTGTGTAATAAGATGTGTTCATAAATATTCTCAGGACGTTGTAATATGAATTACTATGGAAATTTTGGATACACACCTAAAGTGGGTTTAGATATTCTAGATAGCATAAATACATGCTGTTCGTGACTCTCTTCTGTCTTTATGTCTTGTTAATTTCCTCGAGAAAGTGACAAGAGTCATGCATTTATCTAGACCCGAAAACTTTTTAGAAACTGAAACGCGCAATATACTTTCACAGCCTAGTTCCAATTTTCAGATTTGCTAAGGACTCACAGCGACACGTTATATTTAGGGGCTTCAACGATGATTTTGTTCAGTGTTTGTTGAATCCCAGATCGATCTCTTTTGTCGAAACTGAATAAAGGGAATAAGCGTATCCTAGAAAAGTTCATAGAAGAACATAAGTTCGAAACACACAAAGATCCGACAACATTCAGTGTTATTCATCCTGATTAAAAAAGATGTGATCTAACACCAGCAAGCATGCGCAATGAATACAACTTGTTCATTAGGCCCGAAGAGGTATTTCAGCTTATAGCTGTTGATTTCGGGATCAAGATTACCGGCAAATTCACGCACAATGTTTATACCTATTGCCCTTTAAACGGAAACTATAATAACATTATTACCCAGGTAAGCAAAAACATCTCAGGAAAGTATGTTCTCTTTAGGCGTCCGTATAATTTCGCTTGTTTATCAACCATGCATGTGTACATGGTTAGGGTAGTCCTTATATATAAATTTGCATTTAACTCTACCACCTCATACATTTTGAAGCTGAAGCTGATATCATTTAGACGATTTTTACAAATATTTCTTTGGTTAGGCAGACGTTCGCCGATTTAGATCTCCGTCGTTAACTGTTGTTAGAATGTTGGCTTTAAAATGACGACATTCCGGCGCTTATCGCCTTTGCATGATATTCCAGAACAGCAAATAGCGGTCGCTTTATCTCTAATTTTTCTCAAGCAGTTAATTTCAAAGAATTGAAACAATGAGGTCATCAATGTTGAAGCTTTTCAAAAGACTCTAGCATGGTAATAGCACAAATGAAACGACAAATGACCGTAATGAATATTGCTTCTAGTTTTGCTTCTGCTGCACTGATTTTGAAATCCGAACACAGGTCACTAGCAGCAACACTGCTATTTGATAACATACACCAAGGTTGAAATGATGTTGAGCATATAGTGACGTCTTAATCATTTCGTAGAATTCTGCGAAAAGAGGCGGATGTAAAAATTGCTTTCTTCGAAAAGTTGTGTTTGTATAGTGCATTAGTTGTCATGCATACTCTCACTCGTGTCGGTCAGTTAGAGGGGAGGTTTCTGGCTATTGTTGCGCGTAGATGTTTGTTGTCTTTCGCTGTCTTCTTAGGGCAATGTAAGGCCTGACCATGGATGCCACACACTCTTTGGTAAGTGAGTGTTTAGTCTGAAATAGTATTCGCGAATTGAAAAGGGTTTACCGGTATTAAGTTATACGCAATGAATTTATTTATAAGCAAACCTTACGAAGGATCTTCGCGGAAAAGCCATAAAAAAAATATATTATACTCGGTTTAAGACATTTGTATTCTTAGAATTACTACCGGAAATCAGTTATTGATTCCAAGAAAATCTCTTTTAAGACCGCAAACAGCCCTCGTTGCCCAAAGTTTATAAATAGAGACCCAAATGGAACATTCCCAGAAATGGCCCGGAAGTCAACATGCATATTCTGAGAATTCAATGTTTAGTTCTTGCAAAGCAGTAACAAGGCTTTCAATTATTGACTTTCGATTCCGTAAAGTATTGTACTCAATGCTTAATTTTTTTTTATCGACTGATTTCAATATGGCGAAAAATATGTAACTGGAATATTTACTAATGTTTGAATTCAGAGCTTAACTCTCAATTTAAAATTCTCATTATCTTACCAGCGTGGCAACGAAAATTTCTGGTTATATATAAAGGAAAAAAGACATGTTTCGTCTCCTCTCACTGTAGTTAGTTGGTGTTTGGTGACCGAATTTGCTGAAATAGTGCTTAACCTAGGGGTACTTATTAGATGCAGCGGTTTTATCATACAATGAGTTACACGATTCTTCCTTCTGCCAAAAAAAGAAACAGTATTTCGAAGTACAGTGTTTGCATCAAGATCTTGGAAAATCATCCTACCTACTATATCAGCATACCTCAACCTTTAGTCGATCAGGTCTGTGAGGTTTTGAAGTGAAATAAACTAATTTGAATAATAAATTCAGTAGTTAGCCAGTATTTCCATTGTTTAAATTTTGCACTGAGAATTGCATGCAGAGAGTTTTGTTGAGTTACAATGGACATGCTTTCTGATGCAGATGTACATTTGAAGCAAAAGTTTTACGTTTACCTTTGAGTTTGGGACATGTTAAAGAAGCTGAGTAGAGTCGACAATGTTGTTTCAATATTTCACTGTTTTATTACGGTAAGGTAAACTTAAAACGCACTGTATGTGGCACAGCATAATTTTACACTTATTTATTGTGTCCAGTTTTTCATCTACTGTAACAAAGACACAAAAAGGTGTGAATATGAAAGCTATCTTCGCAGTAATGAACATTACTGCTCAAATAGTGTTCATTACTGCGAAGATCGCTTTCATTTTCACGTCTTTTCCGCAGTTCACATGTATAATTTTCATATATTCACAGTCATTTATTTATCAATTCACGGGTTTATATGATACCAACGTAATGACCAGCTCCCAGTTGGCTCGTTAGCTTGGTCGGTAGAGCACTGCACCGGTATCACAAAGGTCATGGGTTCAAATCCTGTACAAGCCTGAATTTTTTTCAGGCCTTATTTTCACTACTGCTCAAGTAATGTTCATTGCTGTGAAGATCGCTTTCATATTCATGTCTTTAACCGCAGTTCGCATATATGATTTTTATTTATTCACAGTCACACAAAAAGGTGTTATCATACACGTTATAACCCTGTTTCTCTGCATATCGAGAGAATAAGAAGCTTGGACCCTGAGCAACCCCACAAAGGCCAAAATAATGGAAGTAATCCTGGACAAACTGGTCATGGTAATTTTTTTATTTTTTCCCAGAAACCATATACAAAGTCCTGAAGTCTCTCGCTCACGTATGAGCACTCTTCAAAATGCCCAGAGTGGTAAAACCACAAATGGACAGTCCGAGAAGACAGGCCACGATAAAAAACCTATTATTCAGAGCCAGAGATTTAGTCACAAAAGAAAGCAGGTGGAGGACACAAGGAAAGGTGGGTCCACAGTAGCTGGCAAAAGTTTGATGGATACCTCAAACGATCCTGGCTCAAAATATGCGCAAGATGATGGAACAGAGGGTAGAGGAGTACAAGGCACATCAGGGGCTGACAAGAGTTCAACGGTCTTGAACAATGAGCAGCAGAATACGACAGTAGAAGGAGGAGCACAAGACACGAATCGTAAAACGCCAAAGAGGCGGCGTTCAAGAACAAAACGCAAAAAAAACAAAAGTGCAGACAGCGGTGAAATTCCCGAGTTACAAAATAGACTGCCAGGTAAAGCGACAGAAAAAGACAGTGAAAGCCGAGATGGGATTCAAAAGCAAGAACAGAGGCATTCGCTAAAGAAAGCTGGTAGTATTGATAGTGTTTCACAGTCAGCCACCGAGGGGCAGAAGAGCAGTAGTGCAAAAGAAGTAACAAAGAAGCAAGACGCTGTCGAAAAGAACAAACAACCAAGCCAGAAAGTCAAGGGAAGAACAAACACGGTTGATTCCTCAGGGGGCAAAGATGTTACGATGGTTCAAAGTCATGTGCAAGCTGATGCGATGATAGCAGATAGCCGGAAGGAAGACGAATTTGGACAACGAGGGAGGACTACTCATCGGCAGAATAGACGTTCAGGGTCAAGAGGTGCTGTTGGGGAAAGCTCCCCCCTCCGTGCAGCTCAGGAAGGGCTAGAGAAAATAAAGGATCGAGAAAATGCCCAGAGCCGAAAAGAAAATCAAAGTCGAAACGAAACAAGCCAACCTGTAAGGATAGAGAGTAAAGAGAAACAACGACTAATTCCTAAAGAAAAGAGACTGGCAAACGAAAGACAGAGTGCAGTTCTCAATGGTAACAACAACCTGTCGGAAAACGAGGCACGTAGCAGAGAAACTGAAATTGTAAGTGATCACGTGAAAATCGTGTCCGCGACTAAGGAAGGAGTCCCTTCGAGCAGAGAAAAAAAAGCAAAACAAGCAATTAACAGATTGGAATCTCAAAGAAAGCCTCCATCAGTCAATGCTATGACAGGTTTCCTCACAAAAACTCCACAAGAAATCGTGAATTGGTTAATCCGAGATCATTCATCCTTGTTTAAAAAACAACTTAAAATCAAAGATGAAGCGGTTGCTGTCCTATTGAAACTTCTGGCCAAAGCTTGTGATTGCAAGTCTTCCAGTAACCTTAAGAAACTTTTCAAAGTGTTATCATCATCCTGGCTGCTCAACCGAAGGGCTCTGGCCATTCTGAACCAGCTAACTGGGAAGGAATCGAAGACATCCCAAAATGAGCATTTTGCTATGGAAACAATCAGGGAAATGGCTAAAGTGCAGACAGAGATCCTTAGAAGACACCCAACTAAAAAGTACCCTCTGATGGAGAAACTCCATAGGCTGGTAAATGCTCGCAAGTTACAAGATCAAGGCGTGATCTCTGTTGTGCAAGAGCAACAGAAACTGTTGAGTAAGGAGAAAGTTGCACAATGCAAAAAAGAGGCAGTGCAAAAGAGAAAAAGTGCCAAAGCTGGTAATGGTTTCTTTTTTTCCTTAAATTTAGCAATTGAGTGTATTTTGGCCCCCAGGCTAACCATTTCCATTCCATTCTTGTGTCCTTTTATGACAAATGACTAAGTTAAAGAATAAAGGGTAAGAGCATTAGCCCTTCGCTCTGAAGAAGGGCTAACGCACGAAACGTCAGCTTAACAACTCTTTACAGTTGCCAATTTACGTTATCAACTCAGTTGATAATACTAAATTACCCTGTTTTGACTAAGTTAAAAGCCTGTTCCGACACTGCATGGCAAAATGTGCAACAAGCTGCAATTAATTCGTACATCTTGTAATCGCTTTCTTAGTTTGCACAGAGTAATAACTATGTTTCGGTATCATTTTCAATCTACAGATGTTACCGATGTTAAGATGAAGCCGCCCGGGAAAAGCTCAGAACTTCCAAACTTGGAAGCAAAACAAACTGTTGCTACAACTATCGAAGGGAAGAAATTTCGCAAGAGTACCTTCCCTCTCGGCGCGGCCGAGCAAGGGCTGGAGCAAACAAAGGATGGAGAGTATGCGACAAGTCAACAAAAAGTTCAAAATGGAAATGAAATGAGCCAAACCGTTGGTCGAGAGAACAAATCAATAAAAGAAGGAATTCCTAATGAAACGAAAGAGGAAAATACAAGTCAAAATGAATTTATCAACGGCAATAGCAACTTTTCAGAGAACGGGGTACAAAGCGGGGAAGTTGAAAGTGATCGGGTGAAAAACCGGTCCGAGAATAAGGCAGAAGTTCCTTCGAGCAACGGAAGAAAAGCAGAACAAGCAATTGACAGATTGGAATCTCAAAGAAAGCCTCCATCAGTCAAAGCTATGACAGATTTCCTCTTAAAAACTCCGCAAGAAATCGTGAAGTGGTTAATGCTGGATCATCCTTACCTATTTAAAAGGCAACTTAAAATCAAAGATGAAGCGGTTGCTGTCCTACTGAAACTTCTGGCAAAAGCGTGTGATTCCGAGTCTTCCAGTAACCTTATAGCGCTTTTCAGAGTGTTATCAACATCCTGGCTGCTCAACCGAAAGGCTTTGGCCATTCTGAACCAGCTAACTGGGAAGGAATCGAAGACATCCCAAAATAAGCATTTTACTATGGAAACAATCAGGGAAATGGCTAAAGTGCAGACAGAGATCCTTAGAAGATACCCAAATAAAAATTACCCACTGATGGAGAAACTCCATAGGCTGGTAAATGCTCGCAAGTTACAAGATCAAGGCGTGATCTCTGTTGTGCAAGAGCAACAGAAACTGTTGAGTAAGGAGAAAGTTGCACAATGCAAAAAAGAGGCAGTGCAAAAGAGAAAAAGTGCCAAAGCTGGTAATGGTTTCCTTTTTTTCCTTAAATTTAGCAATTGATTGTTTTTTGCCCCCAGCCTAACCATTTCCATTCCATTCCTGTGTCCATTTTTGAGCTTATTGACTATTGTCTATTAGACGCTGGCAAAAATTGCAACAAACTTCAATGAATCTTTACTAACTTGTATCGCTAAGGAGTATGATAAAACCCGCAAAACTACCACTTATTTTGCACAGCAGAGTAGCAAATATGTCTTGGTATCACCTTCAACTTACAGATATTACTGATGACAACTTGAAGCCTCCCGAGAATTTTCGCTTGCTGAGTGTTATTCCAACTCGTGAGAACATCATTTCAAACCAGGGCCAAGACCAAAAGCTGTTCCTCAGAAAGAACAAAGTTGAAGGGCACTACAACGACGAGGAACACTATTTAGACGTTCAGTTTCGGCTTCTACGTGAAGACTTCTTAAGACCTCTTCGCAAAGGGATCCAACACTTAATGGGCAAAGACGTCCCTGATGATACCGATGACGATAATGTAGGAGATGTCAGAGTCTACAAAGATGTGAGAATACTACGGCCTGCGTGTACTTCAAATGGAGTCGCATTCAAGATTAAGTTTGATGTTACAGGTTTCAGTCGAGTTCGATGGGAGAACAGTAAGAGACTGATATTTGGATCATTGTTGTGTCTATCGAAGGACAATTTTAAGAGCTTCGCTTTTGCCACCGTCGCAAATAGAGAACTAAGCGATATAAGAAAGGTAAGAGTACTAGTTACTGAAACAATAATCAATAATCATTGTTTTAATGGACTCTAGCTATTTCTTTTCCCATACCCCAATATAATACGATCAGGAATTAAATGGATCACAGACGGACTATTTGCCCTTGCCTTTAAACCTTGTTCAGCTGTTTCGAGCGAGGAAACTCTGCACAGTGCACTAACCTCTTGGATTCAGTCATTATGTATCAGTGCAAACATCCAACTTACCTTTACTAGGAAAGAAAGAGAATTCAAGTTGTCCTTTATGTTGTCGTATTACAGCATGTGAATATAAAAGCTGTTATCCTGTCTGCGGGAATACAATTTTTTTAATCTTTTGAATTTTTTTTTATTATAAAACTCAGGGCGAACTAGAAGTGCAGTTTGTCTCGCCTGGTGGTGAAGCCGGAATACACACGGGAGATTTATGCCAAATGGTCGAGTCCATAGCTTTCTTTGAGGCATATCGACCAGTGCTTGAAGGATTGAAGACGATACCTTCCGGAGAATTTCCTTTTCAGGTAATAATCAATATGTCAGGCTAGGAATGTTCGCCAACTTAAGACTGAGCATGTCGACATATAGTAGTGCTCGTAGTATTCAGGTCTCCTTCAATCCAACTTGTAAAACTTTTGCTCAATGGGTTGTGTCCTCCAGAGTAGTACAATAGGAAATTATTTATTCTGGCGTGAAGCCAAACTATATCATGGCGTGAAGCCAAATTATATAATAAGATCAAATGGAATTACTGGCGGATGACCGATGAAGCATGTACTGATCTTGAAGCCAAAGGAAAACACCTTTCCTCTAAGTAACCGTTAGTGGAACTCCTTAAAGCTATTCCTTTGTTTCCAATGCCAACCGGCGTGGAATATTTATCAACATGGTGTTGACTTTTTTTTAGAGATACATTGTGAAGTGTCAGACAGATGTACAATCACCAGCCTACCTAAGGAAACCCGGTGGTCACCATGCAAAGTTCGATTTTTCTCCTCTTTTTTCAAACGAAGAATCACTTGATCACAAGTAAGTGAAGACTCGGCAGGTTCTTAGATACTATGTTAATTCATCCGCTGACTAACTGACCACTTAAAACCAAATAAGTGCCCCTCTCATGTACCTTCGCTAATTTTATGTGTGATGTTCCAAAGATGTCTTCTGCCAGGAATTACGGATCAAAGGAAAAAGGACTTGATTTTGATGGTTAACGGTTTAAGTTATCCATTTTGATTGGTGACGGTTAAATTTCCGCCTCTAATGGCTGACAGTTTGCCCCAATGATACCCTCTTACGGATGTGACTAATGAAGTATTAATAAAATGTAACGGTAACAGGGTTGTGATTAATCTGTTGAAATGTGTTCATAAGTTGTCATGAGGTGATCTGCATTCATTTTCAGGTCGAGTCCCGCATGTGTGCTAAAGCGTGAGAATCCTGGTGGTCTTGAAGTCTCAGGTAAAAGAGAAAAAAAAAAGTTACAGCAAAATCATGTTTTTATGCTCTCGTTTTTTTAAAAACTTTTAAAGAGGTTTAGCTGTGTTACTGTCAATGAGGCACTTGTAAAGATAATTTCAAGGGTGATTTTAAAAAAGCTGTTTCGGAAAGACCTGATAGCTAGTAGCATCAATGGATGATTTCAGTTCAACGGTTTTGTTTACATTATCTGTATGTTCAAAAGATACTACATAACTGGAACAAGAACAAACATCATCTAATGTAAAGTTGTTTTAATTTGAAGTATATACCCAGGGTGCGGGGAATTTTTTTGATTAACCGTAGAATTAGCTCAGATCAGACTTGAGTGTATATGTGTACGTTTAGACGCACTTTGATATCATTTACTAATTTCTAGTCTCTTTTTGGATATCAAAATTAGTTTCGCAGATGTCATAGGAATCCCTCTCTTTATAGATAATATCGTGTTTATGAAGCTCTTTGTCAAATCACACTTGTCAATCACGACACAAGGTTGGCTACCGCAGACTTTCTCAATTTGTTATAGTAGTATGGTCGAATATAGGTTGCGTCAAATGTTGGCGCAGGCCAGCAGTTGGCGGTTAGCTGATTGCAACCACTACTCTGAGTTCCTCTTTGGAAATAAAATTTCTAGGTTACCATGCTGGACTATTGGTCTCAGTGTTGGACCCAGCCTCCTGGCCGGTGGCGGAGGATCTGAAGTTGGATGATTCACAATTTAACGCCTTACAGCTGGCGCTGACCAAAGAGTTTGCAGTAATCCAGGGACCGCCAGGCACCGGAAAAACCCACATCGGATTGATGGTATTTTCTCCTTTTTTCAGGAGATTTTGTCTTAAGACCGAAGTTAAAAAGAGATAGTTGGCATTTATCTAATCTCATATCTCTCTCTAGCTGCTGGGGAGGCATGTCAAATTTTTTTCTGAAGCTTTCCTAAATATGTACTTTCTTGGGTTAAGTGCTGTAATCGCTGTTGACCAGAAGAAAACAAGACGTTTTATCGATACCCTGCGGGCATAACGTCTAAAAGTACTTCTTTTAAAAAGTGCTTTAGGTTGCTAAGGATATCGAACTTATTATTTTCTTTTTGTAAAATGTTTTACAGATAGCAAAGGTTCTTTTGCACAACACAAGCGTTTGGCACGGAAGAGAAGGAGGACCTATTCTTGTCGTCTGTTACACTAACCACGCTCTGGACCAATTCTTGGAAGGAATCCACGCCTTTCACCCGGAAGGAATTGTCCGTGTTGGAGGAAGAAGTAACAGCGAGACCATTCAAGAATGTAGTCTCGCAAAAATTAAACAAACAAGGAGGGAGGTAACTGAAAATCATATGTATAACATCTTAAGTGAACAAACACTCCACTGGAAATTTAACGACGGAACAAATTCACTAGCAACGTTTTCTGGCAAGGTGGAAGGTAGGCCTTGAGAGTTTTAAGACATTTAACAACTGTTTGTGGTGAGAATTATGACCAAACACCGTCATATATTTAATAGAAACAATTTCTTACAATTCAGACACAAAATTCATGGTTATGGCTTGTTGAACACACAAGAGAGTGTAGAAACTACATAACTTAAATTCATATTTTTAAATTGAAATTACTGAAACTGCTTTCAAAGCTTATGATACTAATAATTCTGTAAGTATATGGCATACTAAAGATACTGATTATTTGTGAAAGCATGGATATATATATATTTATCTGTTAATTATTTAGGAGAATCTGACACCTGTTCAAATCAGAAAAGCTTATGGTCAGATCCGAGGAGAAATGAGAAGTCTGTCAGCCTTGATTGATGATCACGAGGAAATGTTGCATGAATTATCGAAGACTTTGCTTCACGAGGATGAGCTTGTTGATTACGGCATGGTCCAGAAGCATTACGATTCCTTGACGAGAGGATCACGAAATAATGGGGCAAAGAAAAGAGAATCAGTCATTCCACAGTGGCTTGGGCTTCCCGTAGAGCCAGCGGACCCATACCAAGAGGGTAGGATATTTTCGCAATATCGAAGGAGTAAAAATATCACGCGTTTTGATTTTTTGTTGTTTTGGCAACTAAGTAGAGGGAAATGTTTTTTTTGTCTTGACACAAGTGTGGGGTAACCCAAAAAATTTCAACATTGCTGCATTATTTCTCAAGATTCACCTTTCGACAGATCTTTTTAAACAATCTAAATTGTAGGTTCAGAGCCACCTTAAGATACCGGTGATTTCAGTCGAGGCAACCACTTTCCGGTGAAAGTAGCCGTCATTCCTTTTCGCTTTATTGGTTTTTAATCGACCACTTCACATGATCCCACCTCATCAATATTCATGACGATAAAATAGTGTATTCCGGGCTCCTTCTTTTTTATACTATTCAACTGTGACATTATTTTATAATAATCTGTGAATTCTTCGCATCTGTTTCAGGTTTCGCTCAACCTCTTGCTATGTTTCCCTTTAATGCTGAGTGTGGAGGTTTGGAGTATTTCTCTCAAGAAAATATAGCTTATTTATCACCACGTGTTCAGTACACCCCAGGTGTCGATGGGAGTCCAGGAGGCTCTCTAGAACTATCCGGATTTGCTGACTCGTTCATCGAGATTCCAAATTGGTGGGGAGGGTTTGCAGACGCTGCGGTTTCCATAACGTTGCTAGCATTTATCTACCCTTTGGGAGGAAGCGGACCAATTGTTAGCTATGATGTTCACGGCTGTGGTGTTCAACTTTGGCATGATGGTTTTGAGGAAAAAATGGGTGTATTGACAGCTTACTTCACTCAAAGAGATCTTTTGCCCTCCGCGTTTTATCTAAGAGCAGCTGTTCTGCGCATAAACGAATGGAACTTCATCGGTGCCTCCTACGATCACGACTCTGGATTTGCTCGTTTGTGGCACAATGGAAATGAAGTAATGGCAGTATTTATTGGGGAGACGCATTTGGCGACGCAGTTCCCCATAAGGATCGGTGCTCTCGCGAGCACCTGGGTGGGGTATAGCTTCAAAGGGAGAATTTCGCATTTGCACATATACGCCGAGTCACTGACAGCCGAGAACATTCGAGCAGTCGGAGGCATGTCTTCACACGGTAAGTTTAATTAGTTTAAATCTCTCTAAAAGGAGATTACAGTTTCAGCAGGAGTCAAAATAAGAGACTTTTTCCTCATGCTCCTCCTCACGCAGTTTCAATCAATTCCAACCACTTTTCCTACAGAAAAATAGGCAAAGAAAAACTGCGTTACATTTCGATGCAATATATGGCGCCTGCTATGTTGGATTTCATTCTTTTTCAGAGAGATTTCTGAAATTTGATTGGCTCAGACCAGAAGTATTTTAACCAAACTTGAAATACTTACATGTAAAAATCACAGTTTCCATGGTAACCAAATTATATTAAAAATATGTATGAAGAAAACGATTTGATTTGCACTATAATTTTAAAAAAATCATGATTTCTTCGGAGTATTTGGGATAAATGCCCGCTCATGATATTTCAAAATTTCCCCAATATCACTTGCCTCCTCGCGGCTCGTAATATTTTGGTGAATTTTTAAATATCACGTGCAGTTTCTATCTCAATACCCCATAGAAACCATGCTATTTCCTGCACTTATTTATTGTTTATCTTACTTCTGTGATTAATGATGAAACTCAATTTTTTAAACAGAGACATACAGGTTCAGCGAAGAGAACGCAGGAGAGGCAAGAGGTAAAAACAACGAAGAACAAGGAGAATTTGACTACAGGGAGAGTTCCGCTAATTTTCGATTTGACGCTAATGTCTTGCAAGATCAAAGGATACTAGAAACGGATGAGGTTACCAGATTTGGGCGCGAGTCTTCCTTGTCTCATTTGAACACGAACAACACGAGCGATGAGTGTGAGTTTCCAATGTGTGCTCATGAAGGTGCATCAAGGGGCAACTGGCAATTCCAGAATTCAAAACGAATTAAGCAAAAGATCAAACGAATTATTCAGAGAGAGCTTCAGCGAGAAGACGTAATGAGTGAAGAAGAAGCCTCTGAGGTAATTTCGCAAACCGAATTAGTTTGTCTATTATTTAACGAACGTATATTGAGAAATGGTAAAGAAACCAGTGAGGCACGTGGTTGATTCAAACCTCATCACTTATGAGGGTAAATAGTGAAAATATTCTTCTTGATGTCGATTGTTACGTTTTAGGTGGAGGATGTGTGGAATTTGTCTGAGAAAAACCGCTGGCGACTATATCGCAGATGGATGTTCGATGCACGTGAGACTTGCGCCGAGCATATCTGTGATTTCCAAGAATTGTATGATGATCAAGTTCTTCAGTTAAAAGAAGTAAGGAAACAAGAGGAATGCGAGATCCTTAAAAAAGCTGATGTCATTGGAATGACCACGACAGGTAAGCGGCGACTTAACGAAAACCCGACATTGGTGAGTAGTCGTATAAGAGAGGTTTCTTTCGTTTTGATTTGTGCGAAGCAGCCGTCAAGATGTACTTAATTTTGCTAACCACGCGTCCTGTTAATTTCGTGGCCGACGATATTTTCTGACTGAAGGAGTTCGACTATAGAAAGGATAACAAGACTATTGACATATAATTCTGCAAATACTGCTTGGTCCTTAGTAGCTATTGCGTCCAAGAAAATGGTCTCTTTTGCCTTTCCAACAACAGATCCGGGTCTCGGGTTGAATCACCTGGTACAAGGTATTCCTGTCACTCACACCAGGTTTAAGCGGATCGTTTTATCCCCATCTCTTTTGGTAAACGGTGTGTTTAAGCTTTGAAGAAAAGCCTGGTTTTTAGTGAACGTACTTTGTCTCTCTCTTTGAAATTTGAGTTATAACAATTTAGCAACCTTGCAAAAAGACAGTGTTAGTGAAAAAATCATTATTTCATCAATGAGAACTTTAAATCCTGGTCTTAAAGGTTTGTCTGTGATTGTGGAAGTAGCTTGTAAAGATCTTGCCCGAGGACTAGGCAGGCAGCAGGGTGTCATCATTCACACCTGACGTTTGAATGATGACACCTCATCTGTCTTAAGAAGCGCTCTAGACAGATGGTGCTTTATCATGGATGTCATGAGTAATTCATGTACACAGAATAATCTTCTTAGTTCTTCCCGCATTTTGGAAGAATAGTTAAAGTGTTTAGAGAATTTGAGAAGAAAAGTCTAAAGATAATTACCACCAGTTAAATCGAAAACGAAGCTTTATGTTAAACTGATTCATTAATTGTTTAGAAAGTGAACAAATGCTATGTCCTTAATGGTTTGTATCAAGGTGCTGCCCGGTATCACAGTTTGCTACAAGACATTCAACCGACAATTACTATCGTGGAAGAAGCCGCTGAAGTGCTAGAGGCGCACATTGTAACCTCTCTAACCAAAGGATGTAAGCATTTGATTCTGATTGGTGATCATCAGCAGCTCCGACCCAATCCCACAGTCTACGATCTCCAAATCAACTACAATTTAGACGTATCCTTGTTTGAGAGAATGGTAACGAACGGAATGAAGTTCTCAAGGCTGAGCCTACAGCACCGAATGAGACCAGAGATCGCCAAGATGCTGGATCACATTTATGTAGCACCGAAACTGGAGAATCACGAGTCTGTTAAATTTGAAAACATAGTGGGCGTGGAAAGAAATTTGTTCTTTGTGAATCACAGAGAGAAAGAGGTAATATATAGATTTAGCCAATCCTAAAAGCAGAGCTGGCTTTTTTTTCCCGCACGTCTCAAGGGCACAACGCCTTGCCCCGGCCAGGACTAGAACCCGGGTCGTCCGACTCGGAGCCCAGTGCACTGACCACGTGCCCGTGGTACATTTGACCACGCATGTTAAAAGTAGCACCTTGTAAGGTCGTACGGTCGTACGGTCGTACGGTCGTACGGTCGTACGGTCGTACGGTCGTACGGTCGTACGGTCGTACGGTCGTACGGTCGTACGGTCGTACGGTCGTACGGTCGTACGGTCGTACGGTCGTACGGTCGTACGGTCGTACGGTCGTACGGTCGTACGGTCGTACGGTCGTATATCCAAATTATTTCGGCTCGATGGGTTACTACTATTTTGTATAATTATGGGGCTACGCTCTGCGAGCTCCGCTATTAGACAGTGACTTGTTTTTTTGTCGTAAATTAGAAGAATCTTCTGCATATATTTTGTTCAAACAAGGGTGCATTATTATGGCATCATTTGAATTAAAAGAAAAAGAGAGCTTGAGAGGGCGATGCAATCTAAAAGGCGGTCCTAGTCGCGTGTGCATATTTTTTTTAATGACACTTTGCATTATCCTGACTTCCCCTTTATGCTAGTTTTAATGTCTAGATCAGACCTTTCTGTTGAATTGTATATGCCATTTTTCGTTCTTTTGACTGTGTGAATCTTTTTATTTCTCCGTGCAGAATTCTATTCGTGAAGGAAAAAGCAAATCCAATGCCCACGAAGCAAAATTTTTGACAGCACTATGTCGTTACTTCATTCAACAAGGTTATCAGCCATCACAGATAACTATTCTCACAGCCTACAGTGGACAGCTCGTCGAATTCAGGAAAGAGATGATAGACGACAAAGAGTTTTTTGAAGGAGTTCGTGTTACAGCAGTGGATAATTTCCAAGGAGAAGAAAATGACATCATTCTTCTCTCGCTCGTCCGCAGTGAAAGGATTGGTTTCCTCAAAATTGCAAATCGTGTTTGTGTCGCTTTATCACGAGCTCGTAAAGGCTTCTACATCATTGGAAATGCGACTCTTTTAGCAGAGGAAGACTCTAATCTTTGGGCAAAAATCATCGCAGATATGCAGGAGGATGGCAATCTAGGCAATGAATTGAAACTGGTTTGTCAGAACCATCCCCAGAATGTAATTCACGCTTCTTGTGCTGAGGATTTTGAAGACTCTCCCGAAGGAGGTTGCAAAGAAACGTGTATGATGACTCTGGAATGTGAACACGTCTGCGAGAGATTATGTCACCCGATTGATCTTGAGCACAAAGAGAAATTTGCTTGCGAGAAGCCTTGTACCAGAACCATTTGTGACCTTCAGCACATCTGCCCCAGGACATGTGCCGAAAAGTGTGGTCCTTGTATGGAGAGAGTGGTGAAGGTCATCCCGGGATGTAATCACGAGCAGCTTGTCCCTTGCTCCATCGATGCTACTACCTTCAAGTGCCAGGCGAGGGTGTCAAAGGAAACCTCTCCCTGTCGCCATATCAACGAGGTGGAGTGTTTTGTGGCCCCTGCTGACATCACCTGCAAGGAGCCTTGTAGTAAATTAGAGTGTGGACATCCATGTCCCGGTAAGATAATAGGTCTAAGCTTTTCTTAGACATAATATTAGGATCTATCTTTTAGAAATAACAGGGGAGCAAATCCCTTCCAAGAGCTGCTGTCCGGAAATCAGAAGCAGATCGAAAGTGAATCTTCAAGAGCAGCTGGAACATTTTTTGGGCATCGGCCGGAGTCATTTTCAGAGAGGATAAGTTTTGTAGCTCCACGTAAACTCAAGTTTATCGTTTATTACCTTTAGCAACTAATGCACGGGTGGTAAGATCTGATGGTGCGTTACTTTAGCGTCCCTGTATGCATTCATTTTTTCTCTAACGGGGCTAGGAGCGACAGAACGTTCAGCTAGAAAGGCCTCAGAAAATGTTATCTGGTCATAGAGAATGTTTGGAAGGCTTTTTCAAGTAACCAATTGTAATTAGCTGTTCAACTTTCACTCTAGAAAGAAAACAAATTAACGAGAAAACTCCTCTCCTCTGCGCACGTTGGCTGTGCTAATACTTACCTTCGTCACACATCAAAACGGTAAGGTCTGTTGACGGGAAGCAACGATCGCAGCACCACTGTTGATGTTTGTTAATCCTTTATCTTAAAGTTTTTCTTTTAATGCTTTTCGTTTAGGTTACTGTGATCGATGTCAGGGAGGCCGTCTCCATTTGCCGTGCCGGTCTCCATGCAGCCGAATACTTTTCTGCGGCCACACTTGTGTGGATAAATGTGTAAAGTCCTGTCCACCCTGCTCATCAAAATGTCGTAATCATTGCGATCACCAAATCTGCAAACGGAGTTGTGGTGATCCTTGTCAGCCATGCTTTGAGGAGTGCTTATGGCAGTGTCCACATCATAAATGTACTAAACGTTGCGGAGAGATTTGCGACCGACCGAGATGCGATGAGCCATGCTCTAGGCTGTTACCGTGTGGCCATGTGTGTGTCGGTGTTTGTGGTGATATTTGTCCCGAATTATGCCGAGTTTGCGATTCGGTTGAGTTCCACGAGAGTGCGTCTGGAGCAATGTTCATTGAATTGGTTGACTGTGGTCATGTGGTAGAAGTTGGGCAACTGGACAAATGGATGGACGGAAGAGATAAAGCCGACGCACAGACTGGAAATGACGATGCCGAAATCAGATATAAAGTTTGCCCAGAGTGCAGAACTCCAATTCTGTACAGTCGTAGGTATGGAAAACTAGTCAAGGAAATTCGTGCCGATTTTGAAGCTATAAAGCGTCAAGTTCGTCTTGCTGATGTCACAAGCATTGACCAGATACAGAGGATTCGGCAAGAGGCTCAAGAGGTCAAAGAAATTCCGAAGATATTGCTTGAGGACATCGCCAAATGCGGCACCGGTGGTCGTAGTACTTGTGAAGAAGTCCACACTTGTGAAAATCGAGTGACTTTCCTGAAATTTCTTGGAAGTTTAATCACAAAGCACAAGATCACAAAAGAATCCAACTGTGAGCTATATGACAAAATAAATCTCCTGAAAGCACGGGTAATGATGAGGCGGGATTGCTTCAGTGAACAGGAACTCAATGAATTTCAGAATGAGTTGTTACGAACAAAGCTTCTGGTGTCTTTCGAAGGCCTGACGACTACTCTCGAAACTAACAAGTCAGTCCTTAGTCTCTGTCCTAGTGATGCCAAAACTGTAGAATCTATAAGTAGTGCTCTGGAATCCGGCAAAGTAATTGGTACGTATAGGTATAAGTCACATAATTTATAGAAAGTTCAAAAACTCATTAATAATTCATAAGCCCATTAACCTATCAAATGGTAGATAATACATCACGTGCAGTGACTTTATATCGATAAACCTCATCCTTATTAGTATGCGGTGTTTTATCAGATATAAAGACACTGCACGTGACTTATGAATGTTTTTCTCGTATGCTAATTTGGATACGCTTGGATACGAATTTTATCTTCGAGTACGGTGTTAATAACTTCTTTCATGAGTGAGAGGAGTGATCGAGTGAGAGATGTTATCAACACGAGAAAATTAATTCGTGTCTGAAAGCAGGCATGTATTTTTCTGTTTAAAGTAGATTGGTTATTTGAAGCAAATACAATTTTGAAACTCCGTATGAAAGAGCAACGATTGCAGAGATAACCCGCTCGTAATCTCAGCTCGAAGAAAGCTACTTCAACTTTCGGCATAAAATATTATGACTATTCCTCGTAATTTCCCTGCTAAAAAAGTTAAGTCAGCCAGAAAGCGTTTCGTAGATGTAGTACACCTTTTCGTGAAAAGTAAAAACCGCCCTTTTGATTAATACGGTTATCCCGACGACATTAATAGCTTCACATGCGAAGATACTGATGGTATACGTCCACTACGTGTGGTGAAGACACAATGGTTTGGAAACTGGAGAAATTCCGTCATTTCATCGATATAAACATGAAAATACAAGTTATGATAAGTTTTTCGATCACGGTTCGCAACCAAACGAATCTAGATTTACTGACGCCGTAGTGTCCACCTGATTTTTTAGTCTTTTCCACAAAAACTCCTCTACTTGCCCTGTGTGTATATTCGAGTATTTATTTGACTTTGAATATCTAAATTTAGTATATACTAAAACAGTAAATAGCGTTGAAGGTACGCCCTGATTGGCTACCCAAACTCCAAATATCCCGTGCTATTCAACTCCGAGCGACTCGCGCGGGATTTGCCCTCGAAAACATTGTAATCGTTGCTGGAATAAATTAGTTAAAATTTTTTTTATGTGCTACATTTTCTCGCTGTTTTAGTATATATATAAACAACTGTTCACCTCAGGTCAGTGTCTAGCGATGGATATTTACCTCGCTCCTTCGTGGCTCGGTAAATATCCACCACTAGCCACCTCAGTCCACTTCGGTTTATTGATGTCAAATATGATTTCTCCGCGTAATCTTAGGTTATTCATTCCAGTCGGTGGGACTGTGGATAAGCATGTGATGAGAGGTTACCTACTCAGTTGCACAACCAAAATAGATTCAATGATGCTGTGTCTTTCATTTTATAGCTCGTAACAAAATAGAAGAGTTCTTGGATGATATCAATGGAATAGAGCAGAGACATGGGCTCTCAAAGAAAGAGGAGGAAAAGTTTTGCTTAGAAAAGTTGAGGGATGAGATTGTCAAGTCGAAGCACTTAACACAAGGACCCTGGTACAAATGCAAGAAAGGTTAGATACACCTTGTTAAGATTTCTTAAGGAGTTACTGCGGAGTAGAAGGGTGAATACTGCCAAGGAAAACTCAGTGAAAGCAATTGCTGTAAATGCACAGATTGATTTTGTCGAGTCATTTATCATTACATTGAATTAATGCATTTATTATCCACGTCATACACATCCATTCTTGTTCCCTTTAAGGTCATATTTACCCAGCTGCAGAATGCAGTGAAAACGAATTCTCGATTAAGTGTCCAGATTGTCTTGCAGCAGCAAGGACTACTGAATCACATACCAAGGTACTCATATCAAATATCTTGCCAACTTGTCTCAGGTCTGAGAATGTACCTTCAGCGACAGGTAGAATTAAACCACAACAATAAAGTAGTAAAAAAATGGCGCTAAGGGAAAGAAAGCGTGCAACTTACCGCCGCAAAGATACACTAAGCAGTATGACTATCAAACGTGAGCAAGCCAGGCACTTGGTTCAAGAATTGAATATTTTTTAATAATTTGGCGTTTTATTTTTTATTGAGGAAGTTACGTTCTGGTTTTGTGGTATCCATTCACTTCAAAAACATCTGATACCAACATCAACTCTAATTGAGAGTGCTTTACTCATTTTTTCCACAGACCGTTCCTACTCCGGTGAAACTCAGCGAGTTCATGAATGCGACGTCTAAAAATGAGTTCGCGGTGAGCTCTAAAAGGCGGAGGGAGAAACGCCCATCCAAAACTTCCAAGGCCCACAAATGAGCTCTTGAATTTGAGAGATTTCTCAGACGTTCAATCATTTCAAACTGGGGATATTATTTTTATCGATTATCGTCTATCTTAACCGTTCCCTTCCTGATTTACAATTGTATTCTTTTAGAAGTTCGACAAGTACTCTAATCAACAAATGAACGTCGCAACAAGAATGATTTTATAGTCATAACCTACATGATTTACTGGTTACAAGAAACCAATCAACCGAAGAACTTACTGTTAAATTGCTCCTTACCACACCAGTTGCGGGAGTTTGATTCTGCCGGCAACCAGTTTGAATATTGAGGGAAGATTACTGGCGAAGTAGTTCTCTCCAAGCATTTCGATAAAAAATTAAGCGCCAATTTTAAATGACGTTTTTTACTTCCTGCAGGGGAGGGGTAACGAGAATTTAAAGCCTTTGCATTTATCTTGAATACGGCTATTTTGAATTGTTATGACCTACTAAAGTAAGAAGTGTTTGGGAACTACTAAAATTGGGGATGTTTTGACTAAGTGTTTGGAAATTGTTTCGGTCTGTTAGGTCATTTTGGAATCTTTATGCGAGTCTTGAGAGCCTTGTTTTGTTATGAGCTGACCTCCTTTTATTTTTACCTCTTGAGTGATGTGTCCTTGACCGTTGTGATAGGACTTAATTCTCGCACGATTATCGCCATCGCTAGTCATGTTTGGGTTTGTCTTTGACCTTGCTTAGAATCTTCAATGGGAGGTTTTGTTTGGGTTTTGGTTCTCGAATATTGGTTGACGGATGTTAAGTACTTTGTTTTTCATTTCGAATGTCTTTTGAGGTTGTTTTTTTGTTACCCTACCGAGGTCAGTTGTCCTGTAAGCCCAAACATCCCTACCGATAAAGTATTTAAGAGCGTGTACTAAGAGCTGAAGTCATAAGAAGACCGAGTCCCAGAGAGTGAAATAAAGTTCCTGAACAGACTCCTGGTGCCTCCTGTTTGCACGCGTGGTGTTTAAGCTAGTCTACGTCAACTGTCCAACAGAATTAAAACGACCTTTTTTTTTTGTACTTTTCCCACGATACTAAAACCTATGCTCTCCATTTTTCATGGTACCAAATTAACTTTGGTTCATTCAGATCTGTTGATCAGTCAGTCAAAATCGCCTGGTGAATGAAGTCGGTTTTAAAAAGCAAATCTAGAACTAATCATGACATGTTTACTTTACTGGTTGAACCCCCAGTTATTCACGCGTACGCTACGAAACAGATTTCGCCCCGTAAACGATGAAAACATTTAATCAAGTGACTAACTATAAGAGCCTTATATCATGATAAAGCCTTTATGGAAACAAAAATGGAACTTTGCCATTCCCTTTCCTTGCTTAACGCTCTTCAGGCAGCTTACTTTTCAGTTTTCGTTGTCATCCTAGATGAATGGCAGGAGGTTGAGTTTTCTGTTTTGGCCCAGTAATCGATCTTCCTGGATTGAATAGTCGATCCTGTATTAAGCGGTCACTCACAGGGAATGCCGGGTTACCGCTTAAAACAGGTTGACCACTTAATATTAGCTCCACAGAACAGAACTATTTCAAAAGTCGATAAAAATCCCCATTTCATGCCATAATTGACTACTTGATGTACATGTACTCGGTCAAAAATACTGGTAATTCCTAGGTATTGAAAGATTTTTCTTAGTTTTATTCTAGTGATTCCTCAGGAGGAGAACAACACAAAAGGGTCGTTGGGACTCATTTAAGGGTGACCGCGACCGCTTAAGAAAGTTGAACATTGCAGTAATTAAGGGTGGAAATTTGGGAATTTGGGAAACCTACCGCTTAATAAATGGTGACCGTTGAATACGGTGCCACTTAATACAGGTTCGACTGTATTTTCCAATTAATAAATAAGCGGAAAGCATCCTTTATGTCCCTTTTTCAGTCGTCCATCAACGATAAAAACGATAAATCTTTCTACGCTTACCACTACTTTCCTCGTAATAGAAAAGTGTTTCTCGGTTATAACAGGTAAAACAGTAAAGGCAAAGTAAGCTTAAAAGGCAGAGAACGCCAGAAACCACAAAGTGCACACATAATGTAAGTAAGTTCTATCAATCCTGCGTGTAAAATGTTCATATTTCGAAATATTTATTGTTGTAAATCGACGATATTTCAGAAATTAATTGTCTTCTTTTTCTCAAGACGTGAGCTTTGGAAACCTGTGACGTCTCGAGAAAAAGCAAACGATTAATGAAAGCGTCACGCATTCCCGTGTCAGGAGCCGGTAAGGCGTGAGACGACCGAGGGTCCTTCTATTGAATTTATCGGGTATTGGATGCCGCAGTACAAGCAAATTGGCAACACAGTCTATTCCCAAGGCATCAATCAACAAGAGTGTGTCAGGCTTCTTCTTTATTCTGATTGTTTGTTTAAATATCGGCATCTAGAGTTGGAGTAGCTAAAAATATGTAAGGCGTGTTGTGTAAATGGACGCACGGGACAAATATTTCAGAATTCAAAATTTCCCGACACGCTTTTGTTTGTCATTATTCCTGGAATGTTTTGGCGAAATTTGACAAAAAACGGTGGCTATCTTTAAAAGAAGGAACGGGGAATGGGAGAATGGAGAATGGAGATTGGGGGAATGGGGAATCTTAAAAATAGGAATCTTTAAAATAGGGAATCTTTAAAATGAGGAATCTTTAAAATGGGGAATCTTTAAAATGGGGAATCTTTAAAATGGGGAATCTTTAAAATGGGGAATCTTTAAAATGGGGAATCTTTAAAACGGGGAATCGTTAAAAGCGGGAATCTTTAAAACGGGGAATCTTTAAAAGCGGAAATGGTTAATATGGACTAATATCGACTTCACAAAACGGAAAACCCTGTAGATCAGACTATTTTAATCATAATTGCTAACCGAGCCGATGACAGACATATCATTCAGATAAAATAAAAAAAAATAAATGTCGAGTACCACCGCCATCCGCTCAAAAACAGAATTGTTACGTCAAGCAAACTTCAATCTTGAGACGGGATTTCTACTGTTGCGTAGTTTTACTTGTGTCAACGAACCCGAATTTTAAAAGGATCCACTAGCGTAAAATAGAAAAAAAAAGAACAACTTTTCCACAGACCGCTCATACATTTGGTCGATTTCATTCCACGCTTTAAAAGATTCTCCGTTTAAAGATTCTCGCTCTTAAAGATTCTCGCTCTTAAAGATTCCCCGTTTTAAAGATTCCTCGTTTTAAAGATTCCCCATTTTAAAGATACCCCATTTTAAAGATTCCCCATGTCCCGTTACTCATTCTTGATCGTTCAGTGGAGCGTTGAGAAGGACGACACAATAATGGGCAAAGTTGCCAAAGGCAAAGGAAAACCCCCGCGGCAAAAATGGAAAAAACGGAAAATGTGCTGAGAAGCAAGACAGCGAATCGACAGTCAGCTTTCAAAATTACGGTTTGAGGCGGTTATTTATGATTTTGTTTCGTGGCTGGTACTTGAATAAATGACAGGAAACCTTGTTTTTAACTTTATGTATGACAAATTTTGGTTTGACGCCGACTTCTGTGCCAGTCGCTTTCACAGAAAATTTTTTCCTTTTCCTTGACAGAATGGTTCTCTTTCTTTCTCGTTTGGGCCTGTTCTTTTTTTTTTTTTTTTTTTTTTTTCACTACGGACTTTCTTCCGCTTTTATTTTTTCTAGGAGCAAATATTTTTTCCTAAGCAAAGAACTTCTACGTGTGAATTTTGTCAAGTGGGTGATCTAAACAAAATATGTAAATAACGAAAACGAGGCTTAAGATGAGCGGTTGCCGCGAAAATTCCCCTAGGGGATTCGCCCAGGTGCGAGATATGACACCTTCCTGATTTGTTAATTTTTATTTGAAAATACGTTTTTTAAAATAACTCGGATGCTTTGAAATTTTTCAGAATTTTTTGTTTTTGGAAACGCTAGGTAAATTGTTTGAATTCAGTTAATCTAATAAAAGACAAACGATTTTTTCTGCTTCTGAAGGTGGGAAGTAACCTTAAGTTACGAGAGGAACTGTTGAGAATTTTAACGTGGAATAGTATTTTAGTTTTTTGCGATTTCTGTTGTTTTAAACTTGCTTTTCCTTTTTTACAGGAATAACAGTGATGGTAAAGCAAGCTTGAAACGGCTGAGAACGCCAGAAACCACAACGGACGCACGAGGAGTGAGTAAGTTTTATTAATCTTACGGGTAAAATGTTCATATTTCGAAATATTTATCGTTGCACATCGACCATACCATTCCCTATAACTAAAGGTGGTCCAACCTCGAGCTGTGAGATGACCATCTTGCGAAGTAAGAGTGCATAAGAGAAGTTAACTGGATAACTCGCTGAGGTGGGTTCTCTAGCGAGGGGTTCTTAGCGGTTAGATAACAAGCGATGCATTGTGGAATGTGAGGTATTTTTATTGAGAATTTGACTTTTTTTTTTTTCATTCCTAAGAGCGGTCGTAAATATTCCCAAACAAACTCTCATAATTTCGCCTTGACTCTAATTTCGAAAAATGATCATCTCACAGCTGGAGCTTGGGCTGCCTGTGTCATAACGGTTCCCCTCATGACTTAAACAACGCGTCACACAACGCGTGACGCTTTCATAACTTACTCATTTGCTTTTTCTCGAGACGTGAGCTTGGAATATACCTGTGGTTGGCCGAACCTGGCCACGCCTCAGCCTTGTCTCTATGAGAAACATGAAGTATCAAGGGCGCGACTAAACTACGCGAGATAAGATTGCTTTCATGGCGTCCGTCTATTCGCTGAACGGTGACTGTCTTCGTCCGATTTTGTGTTTTCTAGATGACCCTGCATCATTTTACAATTTCGCATTGACATGTAAACGATTTCTTAAAGTTACCAAAAGTACAGAGAACGCTGCACATCCAAATATTTTAAGAACGAAAGCTGAATGTTACCTCAAGCATTATTTGGTCGAGTTACAAGTAGCTTACCCTAACCGTGACTCATGGTCACCCCAGGACCCCCCTCACATATTTTTGTGGATGGCCTTAATTCCAGTTTCCCTGTAAGAGCTTTGCCCCTACATGTAACATGGAAAAATTTGAAACTTGATATTATATCTCACTGTTGATTATTTCTGAATCAGTTGTAACAGAAGTAAAGTAACAGAACCATGAAAAATGACTAAGTATGAGACATGAGAGAATTTTAGGGGAGATCCAAAGCAATTCCTTGGGAGAGCTACATCTTTTTAGTAAGAAGTCATCATTTTTGTAATCTTAGATACAATGTTGTTGGCAGTTTGCCTATTTCCAGTTTCAAATAAGAATAAGAAATTAAAGCTGAGTGTATGTGGCTCTAGATCTGTGTTGGAAATGTGAAAGTGTGAAATCAGTAATGTTACATACCTGTATATATGATGTCGAAATGAGTGGCAATGATATACAATCATTTATTTTATTTATTTATTTTTTTAATACCATGACCCACTGATTTTACGTTGATACTTTGCACACTCCTATCTCTTGCCAAGTGGAAGCTGAGTTGACTTCAAAGTGATTAAGAACAATTTTAATTAAGTTTGCCCTCTGACTTATGCCATCAGTTATGAAAACAAACCTTAGGTGTAAGTGAGTTAGTGAACCCCAGACAAGGGATAACAAATGCTCAAAATAGTTGTGATTGCTGCAATGATGTTCTTTCAACTTGACTTTCTCTTTGAAATAGATGTAACATTACTGGCTTAATTAAAAAATAACAGAATTTTCAACGATGATTCTATTTTTACCATACCACAGTCTGCTTTTTTTTTTCTTTTTAAATGTCTCATTCACGTGAGTAAATCATCATGATTTATTTAATAAAAAAATTGTGGAATTCATATGTGAAGTCTCTGAAACTTCTTACCTTTACAGTGTTTATAATTTTTACACATCAGCTCTGCCCAATACATTTATTTCTGTACCCAACGATTTGAATCCTAACTAGTTCGGTAATGACTCAATTACTCACTTACTTAAAACTAGGATAACTGAGTAAGGTCTTATCACTGGAATTCCTTAAATTATATCTTGACTCGGGCTTGCGTGTAATTAAAGAACTTAGATAAGACAGTGCTAAACCCTTAAAAATCTTGAAAACAATTAATACGATCTTAAGTTCAATTCTTAACTTAATAGGTAACCAGTGCAACTCCATCAATAAAGGAGTAATGTGACAATATTTACTTTCATTGCATATTAATCTAGCACACGTGTTGAACGCGTTGCAATTTGTTAATTTGATATTCTGGAGCACCATACAATAAACTATTGCAATAGTCAATTCTGCTTGAGATAAAGGCATGGACCAGAGTTTTTATGTTCTCTTTAGACAAGTACTTTCTTATCCTCCTCAGATTGTATATGTAGTAAGAGTTTTGCATCGAACCATGAGCCCAAGTTCCTCGCAAATGACACGGGAGTAATTGCTGAGTTGCCAACACGGAGACTGGAAATAGTTACTTTAGCGAGTTGCTGGGATGCACCAATGATCAGAAACTCAGTCTTGTCGTCGTCCAGTTTCAATTTATCATTCAACATCCAATTACGAATATCATCAATACATCTTTCCATTCTAGCCAAAGCAACCGCTTGGTTAACACTAGCATTGGGGCAGAAGGACAAATAAAGTTGGCTGTCATCTGCATAACAATGAATGCCAGGCGGATGTTTGTCCACGACTTGAAAAATCTTGCTCGCATACAATACAAACAATAAGGCATGAGCCCTGAGGGACACCACAAGTCAGTTCCAAGTGCATAGATATTATAGAAATTATAAGTGTGACGGAAACATTGTTCTCATAACACACCAAAAGACATCGGCCGATACAAAATTCTAAGGTACGTGTTAAGTATATTGAAAAAGCGAGTAAACAAAAGAAAAGAAACAATAAAAGCAAATGTACTTTTATTTGCTCTACAAAAGAGAAACGGAAAACAGCAACGGAAGCAAAGTATATTCCCCATGCTTACATTGAGCGTTTTTTTTTTTTTTTTTTAATGAAGGTCACTTTATAATTGTCCGATTTCAGGAAGATTTCATGAACTACTGTTGAGTATACTTCCGACACAATTTCTGTATTAATCAACACTCTGATTCATCATACGCACATAATAAAAAACACTCAACAAAAGCCACTTCCGCTGGGCCAACTCTCGTCAGTTTATTTAATAGTTCCTCTCGCTTCGAAATGTCTTTCATCTCACTCTTAATAAATTCAGGTTAAAGCGTCTTTTTTTCAAAAAAATTGCAAAACGTGTAATCCTTAACTACAGGTTAAAGTGAAGGCAACTTTTAAATTTTTTCAGTTTTTGCACGCAACACTTTTAAAGGCTCTCATAGGAGCTTCCTTTCTATCAAACTTCTAACTTACAATTACCAACGGTCCAATGAAATAACCACGAAAGGCAAAGTAATTCATGCAATAAACGGATAGAATAACAGCCATCTAACAGCTTCAACGGTGGTATTGGTGTGAATTTCTTGTATTTGACACGGAAATTGAATGAAGGAAGTCTGTTTATTTTCTTAATTACCCTAGCCTTGTTTTAAGTGATACTTGACGCAAAAGACTGAATTTTGTGAGGGGATCTGTCAGTTTGGTTACGTCAAGGCTTTTCACAACACATACGTCGATGCGATTAGCGAAGAAAAATTCAATTTGTACCATCCCATCAAAAAACAATTGAGCATTGTCAACTTGCTACGGTGTCCAAATTGAACATCTGCGAGACTGCAAATCGTTCTTTCACTCGACAGCTTCGAGCTCTGAGCATTTTGCGCAAGGAAGGGAAAGAGATGTCGGGAGACAATTCAAACCACTTACCTGTCGCCCACACCAATGCCTCTAACAGTTCAGACCTCGGAATATGCCAACTTCCTCCCACTTCAAAAAATCTTGCACTTTCATTGATTCTTGTCGCTATCTGCATAGTAACATTTTGTGGAAACTTGTTCGTTTGCGCCACTGTTTACATCCATTGCGCTCTTCGTTCCACAACAAATTATCTCATTGTTTCTCTAGCTTTGGCCGATCTGTTGGTGTCTCTTCTGTCGATGCCATTCAGAATCCACTTTACACTACGTAACAACAACTGGTGTCTTCGTTCTAATGTTTGCGGTCTTTGGATCTGGGTGGATTTTGTTGCATGTAGCTCATCTATAGGTAGTTTGGCCGCTGTGTCCATCGACAGATTCGTCGCTGTAAAATTCCCTCTTCGCTACCGTGCTCTCCTCACAAAACAGACCAGCTTGAAGATGATATGCTTCGTGTGGATGTACTCGATGATATTCGCTTCCCTTGGTAACTACAACTGGACATTTCACGCATTCGAGACTTTCACACAATGCCATAAAAATGACCGTGTGTTCTACACCACGGTGGCGAGCTTGGCGTTCTTCTTGCCCCTTGGAATCATTATTGGAACGTATTCTTATCTCACTAAAGTCGCTGTACACCAGCGCCGGCGGACTTTAACCAATACGGTCCGTCCGGAAGGTGAGAGGCCTTTTCGACGAGCCCGCATTTTGCACGAGCTGAAAGCAGCGAAAATGATGGCTTGTGTAGTTTTAATATTCATTGCTAGCTGGGCGCCTTTCTTTATCTTGATGCTCTCGGGTTTTTGGCACGACCGAGACACCACAAGTCGTCTAAACATACCTTATGCCGTCAGGGATATCTTTGTTCTTATACTACCCAACCTTAACAGTGCTATAAACCCTTTCATGTACATGGCGTTTACACGCGAATTACGAGAGCAAGTGGCAAAGTTGGTTGAGAGATTATTCTGTCGATCTTGCAAATGTCATGAGTCCAGAGTTCCGTAGGAAGATCGCGAACGTGGACTCAGCCTGTGATTTTCGGGAATCTGAAACACACGTGAGGCGCAGTATTCGAGCCAAAATCATCGCAAGCTGCACTGGAGAAATTGTTTCATTATTCATTCTATATATCACGAGAAGAAGTGAAAAAGTATATCAACGAAGGATGCAAATGTTTTCTTCCAAACCTGTGAATTCTGTACATATGAAATGTTGTATCTTTTCTCAAAAATCTCCAGTGTTAATTGTAGAAATACAAAGCCTACTGTGCATTATAAAGCTATATAACATTTTCATGTGACGATAAAGATTTCTAAGTTTGGTTAGCCCTCAATAGCCAACAGTAACAAGACGTTAAAAATAACAAGAAATGTAGATCGGTCAACAGCTATAAGGCTTAAGAGCAATTCGTAGTGTACAGTAAGCAAGAACAGATAAACATTTAACTCAAAATACCCCGAAGTTCAAATTATATCTAAAGTAATGGTACAGAATAATAATTATGTACATTTTCTTGTTAAAATAACTACAAGTAATGACACTTTCTAGTTTTTTTTTAATTTTACCTTTCATCATCAGATAATCCCTTGTTTTTTCACCAGACAAAAAAGGCAAATGAATCTGTGCACTGTTTGTTCATGGATTCACCCACGCTTATTGTTATCATTTCAAATTGCCACTCTCTCGTTCACTGTAATCACAATAGGAAATAGTCAGATTGGTAACTAATATTAATTCACACTCACTTGTAGAAGTAAGTAATTTAATAAAGTTGGCAGATGTCATATGCGTCAGTAAAGACAAGCTGCTTAAATGCATTTCTTCTCTTGTTTTCATTCTACAAAGAGAAAAATCTCTTCAAAAGGCGAGACACATCTCAGAAGCACAAACCTGATCATAAATTTCTTGCAAGGTTACAGAATATCACACACCTCATCATGTTTCGAATGAGTTCGACATCTAGATTTTCCTTTTATTTTTTCCTGCATTAAAGGTAATTATTTGTATCTGAATGTCACGATGAAAATCTACCGCGTGATGTTTAATAACTAACATACGGATTAAGTTTACTTTTATTAATTTCCTGCCAAGGTGACTCCACTTTACATATTACTGGCGACAACTGCCGGGAATTAGTTTGCATTCACACGGTCCCTACGAGTTCATGGCTTCGAGTAGCGCCGTTCCCCAGCAGATTCCATCGCGCGAGCCGATAGTAAACATAAAAAGTATATCCCAGTGGCACCTTAAGTATTTGAGAGGCGCGGCACGCATAGTTTGCGCGACTGACTTGCGCGTCGGACTTGCATGGACTGCTTTTGGAACAACAGAACTTACGTTTAAAATGACAGTATTGTATTAGAAATAAGTTACCTTTTTTTCTACAAAGGTATGTGATCTGTTGAAAATAATTAGTTTAATTTTTTAATTTTGGTGATCTTCGAGAAAACGTATATACTAATATCATTATTTCTCGTTTACGATAAAATCATTTCAATATAAGAGACACCTGCACATGAGCCGTCATCATTTCATCAAAACTATGTGCCCCAAGAGGACTGCTAAGAATAACATGACTATGATGCAATGACTACACACAAGTTGAAAGCGACCTTCAGCACTGTACTTAACGATCGGTAACTTGCCAAAATGCAGTAGTGAAGATATACAATGCCATACTTCCTAGGGCAATCAAATCGAAGACTTCAACTGAAAAATTATTTCCAAATCAACTTTACACCAATAGAATAGATTCACTCCTATATATTTTATATCAAAACAATTCATATATATCTTTTCTGACAATGAAAACTGGACAAGTGGTGAAGATGAAGATGAAGATGAAGAAATTTATCTGAGGACGCAATATGTACTAAATGTTCAGTGGCGGATCCAGACCTTGAGCTAAGGGGGAAACCGGTTTTTTTTTTGTCGCTTTCCCTGCCGGCTTTTCTTCCTTCTACGATTTTTTTTTTTAACCAAAATAAAGATGGGGGCTGACCCCCCAGGCCCCTCCTCTAGATCCGCCATCGCTGTTTTGCAGTCAACAAGGAGAAGAGGTCTTCAGATCTTGGGGCGTAATTCAAACCATACAAAAGTGAAGCATCAAACCAAGCCCTCAGCTGCGGCCAAGTTGAAAAGAAAGTTCTCCACAACTGGTGTTAGTTTTCGCTGTTTTAATGCCTCCAAAGTGATCCTGGCCTTGCCACCCTCCTCTAATTCAACAGCCAGCTTTTTTAGATTGTTTATGAGATCCTTCGTCTTGACGGACAATTCCTGAAAGGTTATTGAAGAACATTTTTAATTACACGTCTCAGTCTCTTAAAAAAAACGAAAAAAAACCTCATGTCGCGCTAATGTAAGTAATTAGATGGGCGGAACGAAGATTTTAGCTTGTATTCAGCCTCTCGCAAGAGCGAAGGGCGAGACAACCCATTCGCTCCTCGTTTTTTACAACCACTCAAACAATCAAATAGAAAATAGGTCAAAAGAGGGGGCTTTGATCAAACAGTTCATTAATGAGGATAATGACAGCTCTTTCTTTTGCTCATGTGTTCGTTAGACGTTACGTTAGTTCGTATTTTCATCCATTCGTTCTTTCTTTCGGTCGCTCGTAACTTTGTTCGAGCATCAGTTCCTTCCTTGGTTTCTTCGCTTGTTCGTTATCAAACGTTCGCCAAAAAGTTTTGCGTAGTCACAACTACTAATTGTAAACTTAAATTAGCACCTGATCTTTCTTACACAGGTCTCGTGCAGGCTTGTACGGGTCTGAAAGAGTCTTTGTGTTATTACCTTGACGAGCCTTTGATCACTGTACTCCTCGTTTTTGGCAGCATCTACCATAAACATTGCTATGTCCTTGTGAATTTTTCCCATCTGAAAAGTATCTAGACAAGTAATGAGATCTTTCAGAAATACACATAAAGAGAAAATGACGTAACACGGGTCATATCTGATTTTATATTATACGCTAAATTATACAAGCATTTTGATTGGTTCTTGCTTATGATCTATTGGAGGACAGACACGTAGATGACGTCACCATTGACAGCATTTTGTTTTTCATCATATAAAACAAAAAGATTCCATGTTGCCGTGGGTCTGTACAGTAGGAGTCACACAAGACATCAAAATGTGGCTGCATCTCGTTTTTGTTCAAACCTCATTTTGACGTTATTTGTGATCTATTACCGTACAGTCCTGTACAGACACACAGTAAAATGAAATCTATTTGTTAAGTCAGTAATTAACACTACATAGACAGACCATGATCAGTCAGAGCAAACCCATTAGTTAAAATGATTGTGACCTCACCTCCCCCCCCCTCTCCTCAAACTAACCACTCTTTTTATCAATGTTAGCACTGATTGCATGCTTTCCTGTTTTTAACAATGATTAACGTGTACCCTGTAAAGTCACGAAAGCACCGAGTGAAGATCCTTCAATTTTTAAAATAATAACTGAGAAGTTGGTTTTGTCCACATACCTCGTGCTTCAGGAGCAATGGATATCTCTCCAGCAGCAACTGTAAGATAAAAAGAAACAAAACAAGCTGAGCTGGGGAAAAATGTTTGCAACTCTTTTTGCAATCATTTTAGCATCAGCATAGTTGATCTTCTCTCAATAGTCCTACTTGTGACTGTACTGTCTTTGTAAGAGGATAATATATATCCATAATTGCAAAACGTACCATTAACAAACAAGTCATACAAGTCAGTTTTGCTTTCAACAGATGCATCAGTGAAGCCAGCCACATAAGTTATGTTTGCTGTTAGTTTCTCAAGTTCCTCATCTTCAAGATGAACGTAAGGATGGAGTATGCTCCAGTTCTGACGGTGCCACACTAATAAAGGTAACGCCCTTAAAAAAAAGACAACAAATCCATCATTCGTTTAACAATTACATGTACCAAGGTAGGAAGGGGAAAGTTTCAAAGAAATAATTTTTCAACTCCAGGTGTTTCTTGAGAGCTATGATAAGAAAAACATCCCTCACCTGGCACAATCTTTTGTTCTTGTTTCAACAAATATAGCTGGATAAATTGATATGTTTTTGTAGTCAGTCAGGTCCACATGATTGAAAAGTTGAGCATGGTCAGGTTCCAAAAAACTTAACAAAAACTTAGAATAGAGAACGAAAATTGGGTTTCTTAACCAGTCGACCTTAGCTTATTGCAATATGTCTCACCATAAGAAATAGTATGAATTTTGAGAGTCAGTGGGGAGGGGAGGGGGAAAACCGTGCCAATGTCATCTCTGAAATGAACTTTTAGCATTCTGATACTGCTCTTGGCAACAAATGCCTCATTAACCCTCCATTAGTAAAATGATGACACTACACCATGGGAGTAATCTGCTCAGGAGATAACACTGCTTTAAAACAATATTTAGTAAACTAAACCATTCTTACTCACCTACAAATATCTAAAATAGTTTCAAGTTTGGGACTGTATACCACAACTTTCTTCTTTAGCAGTAGGGCTGTGTATATTAGGATTGTCTCCACCCCAAATATGTTAATAACATCTGTTAGTTAGAAAAAAGAAAGGAGCAAAATTTATAAGGATAATTGTTGTTAGTACATTGAAATGTACAGCTTTTAAGGCACCCTAATGTTTAGAAAAATGTTCGTTCTTTTCATGAACAACTGTTACACAAAATAAGTACTTGCATGCTGTTAATTAATCAAATATTTAAACATTTTTATTCCAACTGTTCTACTGAGTAATGCTATTCAAGGTTAAGCTTATTCTTTGTCCAGAAAGTGCTCCTCTATCAAGCTGCAATGTTTGCCATATAAGATTTTCTTAACATTTCCAAGCTCTAACTTGTTCATGGCTTAGGAGTGTATCCCTTATGTTAGTTCAAAAGCAGATCATGGTAACCTCAAGAAAGTGTCTTTGAAAAAACACATGCATGAATTTTTCAGAAAAAAAGCAAGCACCAAGTTTTACTACAAATCATGAAGTGTATTCACCTGAGATGGGAGAGGCAACATATGACAAGCGAGGATCAAAGTCTTTGACTATTAACAAACCATCGTCATCATTAGGACAAGAGCCCTTTGTAATAACAGACAGGTATGGCTCCAGCATTGCACTAGCATCACCAGTTTTTATGAACTTGTTGCACATGATCTTGCAAAGACTCTTGTATTTCTCAGGACAAAAGTCCTGCAGAAAAGGAAATAAAATCAACTAAATAAGTAGAACACATTATTTATGCATTCTTCCAGAATGATGTACCAGGTGCATATGTACTTTAAAATGAATTTCAGGCCATTATGATTTCAAATTAGTTTGATTTGTATATTTTCTTGGCTCACATACATAACAATGCACGTCCTTAAACAATAAAAGATACAAATCATTTTAGCCATATTACAGGCATACCAAATGTGTGTTAACATCCTCACCTTTGCTATCAGTGTCAGTGCCACATGGGTAACCTTGATAACCAAAAAGCAATTGAAAATAATAAACATATTGTTCATTATTTTTACCTCATAGACTTGTGTTATAAAATCATAAAACTCTTTTAATAATTACATAGTTCAAATATTTCCCTTCAAGCACTCATTATATTTCTACGTATCACTCTGTTATAAGCAATTGCAAAGAAAAAAGTCAAGTTTAGCCTTAATTGTATCAGTTCCAAATTCATTCTTAGTTGTTTATTGAAAACCAATTATAGTCAATCACAAGTACTGTACATTAAATAAGGTGAAAATGCACACATTCAAAAGGAAAGTTTTTTGGACCCTCCCCTTCAGACACTGAGGACATATTTGGATAAATGCATAATAAATAATTCCTAATTTTTTGAAACCATACTTTATACTACAAAACATTAATATCTCTTTAGTGGATGGCCCATGATACCCAAATTCACAATCCCAAAGGGCGGAGCATATCGCAAAAAGTATTTGGTGGAGTCCGTAAGGGATAGCCCTACCCATCCCACCCCCACATGATCAATCTTTATTCCTCCAGCCCTGATGAAACCAAACCCACCTTGCTTAGAGCATCGGAGTTCTTAACTTCTGACGTGTAAATATAGAACCACTGCTTATTGAACTGGCCAAAACAAAAAGGTATGACTTCCTCTTTGTCGGTCTCAAGACAACATTTCCTCGAAAGGACCTGCCGGAACGTTTCGGTTATAGTGGGGTAAGACCATGTCCAAAGGACGTCAGAATCAACATCTTTCTCTGCATTTTTAACCCAAAAAAGAAATAATAAATTTTTCTTATTAAAAATATGTATGACAACGAATTTTTGAGCTGACAAAGAGAATATTTACCGATTAAACATGCAGCCAATAAGTCTCCAAGTCCCGCCATCTTGTTCAGCACTGTATGGAAAGATCGCCCGCACAGTGGGTCAGCGGTAGACAAAACAAACAACATGGCGGTGATGGCGGCCTGCTAGTAATAAAGCTTAGTCCGATCGGTTTGATTTAATTGTTTTGGCTTATTTTCCATTAGCAGATGGAAAAAGGTAGAAAGAGGTCTCGTGATTATCATGAAAGAGAAAAGTCGCCTACCGGGAAAAGGAAAAGCTGCACTGTCTGGGAAGATCTACGTTCCACTCTAGACGAACTCTTCTTCCGCGACTGTGATTTGATTAAACGGTTTGTCTATGTTCATTCACTGTAAGATGAAGTTAATACAGTCATTTCCCAGGATACGCCAATTTATGCTGAATAGCCTATCTTGTGTTTATCAGTGGAACTCAAGATTATAAGGACTTCTGGTTATTTCTGGAACGGTATGAAGCCTTTCACAGTAAGAGACAAAAAGAAAAGCAAACAAATGGTGAGATATGTGAATTGCTTCGAGGTTAACTCTTTTACTGTCTCAATGGTTTTATTTGTTTATCTATTTGTATTTGTCAATAACAGAAGAGCAATTTATGGAAACTACTGATTTAACCATCATCATCATCATCATTATTATTACTATTTGAAAAAAGTGTTGTTCACTCTGCAATTGGGAGATTTACCATCATTATGAGTTAAGCTTAGTGTGAGTGACAATGTACTTTCATTAACTCCTCGTCACTTTGAATACTGTTTTCATTTATAAATATATTTTTCAAAACAGCAAAGGACACTAAAGATTGGAGGTCCCCTAAACTAGGACTCCCTTTATCATACGACAGAAGGTATAAGATAAATGTTGCTCTGTTGTCAAAAGATATTTCTGATGTAACTGGATACAGCACCACTGGAACTAAGAAAGGTAAATTTACTGATAGACTTTGAATCATCATTAATGCAAATACTAGTCACCTGATAAACTTTGAATTAGACCAGTTTGATTTTTAGGTAATTTTGTTTCTGTTAATGAAGAAAAGACAAAACATACAGTGAAACAGGTGTGAATAGACTGAAAGGAAATACAACAAATTTTTTCTTTAAAGATATATTTTTTGTTATGTTTTCACAGTTTACTCCTCTTTGGACAAGAAAAGCAAGCCATGGGGTAATGAGCTATCAAGAGAAGAGTTTTTGGAATTTAAATCCATCATATTGTTTTATATTGATTTTTGTCAGAAGCAAAAGGTAATGGATTGTTATAATAATAATAATAATAATAATAATAATAATAATAATACTTATAATAATAGTTTGAGCATAAACATTCTTCAGCATTCTTAAAACATGTTTAATGTGATTCTTCAGTATTACACTGTGCATCCTCTACTCAGTGTAAAATCATATAATCAGGCCCATAGGTGCATATGCTTTGTAAATAGGAAAAATTTAAAAAGAATAATCAGAGGTAAAAATAGATATAGCTTAAAAATGTGTACAAAGCTCATAGCTCAAGGATGTAAATTATGACCTTGAAAACAACTGTTTTGAGGTTATGTCATTTAAGAATTGCCTGATTTTTGATAAAGTACAGATCAAGTTGTTCCTTATGCTTGAGACTTTCTACCTATCAAGTATCAGCTACAAATGTACCATGAACTGATGAAATAATGTGCATGATCAGTAACAGCGCAGCCAAACATTGGGGTACGATTAGCGCCCCATATCTCCTGAGCAAGCATGTTGACCTACCTTTTTTGTGTGGTTCTCAAAACAGAGATTGGTAGGGAACATTCAAAGGAAAGTTTTAGAAGGCCACCTTTAATACAAAACCATACACATAACTATTGTAATAAATAAGTAACATTTTTCTTTTTTTTTTCACTGCCTTTTGTAGTTTTCCAAATTAGTGAAGTTGAAGAAGGACCAGGCAAACCTTCCCATAAGCAATTTTAAAGAGCAGATTATTGATGCATTGGGAAACAACCAGGTGGTTATTATTGCTGGTGATACAGGGTGTGGAAAGTCTACACAGGTAATACAATAAGAGTACTGTACAATCATGTGATTGGAAATAACAACCTTTGCATACTATTATCATATTCTATGGCTGGGAAGTTGGTGTGATCATGAATTAATGCGGTATAGTGGACACTCATATGGATGCATGTATACAGAAGTGCATTGGAAGGAAATTTCCAATCAGAATCACAAAATCTCTGTCTAGCCCTAAATTACAAACAATACCCAACTCTGTTGATTCTACATGTAATAAGGATGTTTCATTATGCACTGTAGTTGATAGGACAGTAAGTTTATTTGAACCTTTGAACTACTGGCTTAAGAGTCAATGAGTTAGATATTTGTAGGGGGTTTCCATTGAGAAAATTAATGTAGTAGCATGAGAATAGTGTAAAGTAATCATAGAAGATTCTCACCAGTATAAATAAAAAAACAGCTTAGGCCATTTAAATTTAATGGAGGAACTGTGTGCTGTAACCAGAGAATTCTCCCTCTTCCAATGCACACAGCATTATAATGTGAAACATATTTTAATGAAAAACATGACAATCGTTTCTTCGTTTGGTTTTACTTTTTTTAAAGGTTCCTCAGTATCTTTTGCATGCTGGCTACACACAAATTGCATGCACTCAACCTCGACGGATCGCTTGCATTTCATTGGCCAAAAGAGTAGGGTACGAAACTCTGAATGAATATGGATCCCAAGTGGCTTATCAGGTACAATTTATGGTTCCTTTTGATTCTTGAGAAATAAAATAATCATCAAAATCATCACTCTAACACACTAGCCACAATTATGTCAAATTCAGAACCTCTGCATTTTTAAAGATTTTTCTAAACCTACTTGTGGGAAACAAACTCACTGTTGAGTACTGGTGCTCAGCCAGCCAGCATCAAGTAATCATTCCTTGTTGACTTCCAAAAGTTCTCTCATGATTAAGAAAAAAATGTCCTCTGTCACAGCTGTACACATACTGTATAATATATAAACAATTATAAGTATCTCTCAGTTGGTACTCTTGCTATGACTGGTCAGTTTAGCCAGCTATATTTTATTGTACATCCTGCTAAATTCAATTGTTTGAATTGAATTTTTCCCCTCTATTTGAAGCCAGAGGTGTAATAAATATCTTTACTTACTGACCTTATTTCTTTGTCTGTACTGTAAGTTATGGAATCTCAGTCTTTCCCTTTGGGTTTATAACCCATACACTCCTATCTTGGGCCATAAATCCACGCAGAAAAAAAAGATAGGTCCATAACATGCAGTTATTGTAAAGATCTCAAAATCAGTTGGAAAGAGGTATCTATACACTAAGCATAGTTGCTAAGTATTATTAATAGTACATGCATCGGCAGTTTATTGCATACATATCCAATTCATCTGTTTACTTGTATTCTTTACTTAATAAGAAACCTCACCCAAGTTAAATGAATTGTTCAAAATATATGTTAAATTAATCAACTTTTGAAATGGATATTACTGCAGATTCGTTTTGAAAGCAGTAAGACCCTGGGCACCAGAATTTTGTTCCTGACTGAAGGTTTGTGAACAATTTTCTCTGTCTTTTTTGATCACTCATTCAATGGTATATCTTAAATCATAGCTGCATTCAAGTTCACAAAATGTAGATTTCTTTATGTAGATTCAGATTTAATTATAAGTTGTAAAACCTTGCGAATCTGATTTGGTTTTTTTTTTAAAATTTTATGATCAGTGGATTTAAAACTTTTTGTTTTGCACTTCAGATAGATAACAATCTAACCTGTATTAAGGGGTGCCACGTTAAGTGGTCACCCTCTATTAAGTAATCAGTTGTCAAAGTCCCAGATTTCTTTCCTCTTACTCACAGTAATTTTCACCTCTTTTTAGTGGTCACCTAAACTATTTTGTGGTTGTGATTGTCCCTTGCTAAGTCCCAACAGCCTGTTTGTATTTTTCTTCACCCTTATTGAACAGTTACTTAAGTGGATCCACTCAAATTAAACTAAGAATATTCTTTCTAGTAAAATTGATTCCATTTTATTTCCCAAAATCAATGTTAGTAGTATTTTTGGGCAATTTTTTGTACATTAAGTGTTCAATTATGGCATAAAAATAGCAGTTTTTATGTTACCCCTCTTCTAAAGAAACTGTATAAAGTGGTCTCCTTGCCATTCCCCAGAGTGACTGCTTAATACAGGTTTGACTGTAATTGGCTCTTTTCTTGTTGGTAAACAATGAAAACATTGAACATGCTCATGGACAGAAAACTTAATATGGACTCAGGAGGTGAACTCTTGCATAGGAATACAAAGTTGTATTTGTATTGCTGAAGTGAAAATTTGTAATTCCTGAAAAAAGGAAAAAATGACAAGTGACATGGTATCTTTGACTATGGGGAAATGAACTGGTAACAAAGACTAAATATGCTTTGCATCCGTTGTGCTTGAAAATTATGATCCATTTCCTCTGTGCTTTCACCTTTTTTATCTTGCCATTACTCTTGACGTGGTAAAGTGCTTTGTTTGGAGGGTATTGTCACAAATGCAGTCATTGTTGAAATTATATTCATTTTGATGTACACGTGTAGGCTTGTTGTTGCGTCAATTATCTACCGACCCCACCCTCAGTCAGTACAATGTTATCGTGGTGGATGAGGTACATGAGAGACATATTCACGGAGACTTTTTACTTGGTGTTTTACGTGGTTTGCTGCAGGCCCGTGCTGACCTTAAGCTGGTTCTAATGTCTGCCACCATAAATATCAGGTAAGAGGGAGAGAGGGGTGGATGCGGCAATTTTTAGACGAAATATGTGACTGAAAGGAACTAAATATTTTTTTACTTCTCTTGTTCTTTAGCCTGTTTGCCGGCTATTTTACAGGAGCGCCAGTTATTCAGGTTTGTGGCACTTGTTTGATAGATGGACCATTTATGAACACTGTAAAAGTTTCAGTTTGTCTGTCATTTTTCTGCTCTGCTTCCTGTCCAGCATTATTGGGTCTTACCAGCTCATATTTTAGGCGTTTTTGCCCTATTATGGCAAAATGAAGTAGTGGTGGAAAATTGAATTTTTGTGAACTTTCCTTTTTACAGATTCCAGGTCGTTTGTATCCCATTGAAGTTCGGTACCAGCCTCCAAAAGTCGAGGTTAGTGACATGTAGGGAAGCTTATTTTTCTTAAGCTTCCTAATCTCCGTTCTGTCCCATTGCAAAGTAGAAGAAAAAAACATTCCACCTAGAATTTGGGATGGCATGAGAGAGGCAAAATGAATTGTGCAGTAATCAGTTTTGTCTGATTGACCTTGGCACTAAAGGTTTTCGTCTCCCTATATGGTGAAATACCGTGTTTTGTGGCTTACGACGGTCAGACAACGACCAACTCAATATACTGCGGATAAAAACGTACCCTGTGGCACTCGTAGTATTATACCAGGGAAAATGATCTTACAGGCGAGCCTAGGGACCAAAACGGCTGGAGTTTATTGCGCTTTTCTTTGCACCGAGCGACTGGAAGTATTAATATTCCCTCTGGATAGAAGGCTTCTCTAGCGCTTGTTGCCTTCAGCTGTTCATAAGGTTTGCCTCACAGCTTCAGCTCCTCCCTTTGATAATTGCGGTTAGTTCGAGTGCACTAGTCCTGCTTCTGGTGAGTTCTGGAGCATAAGAACCAGACTCCATTTAGCCAAATCATCGAGGCATTTTTTAATCGGTGTTTGTTATTAAAAGCAGCTGTCTTTCTCAACAGTTTTCAAGCAGCTCAAAACGATGGGAGAGACTGGACCCCGCTCCTTACGTCAGAATCATGCAGCTTATTGATCACAAGGTTGATTAAAATGTTTTTATTGTTTCATCGTAAGCTCGATGTTGATTGAATTCAACAGATAAATATTTGACAAAGGGACACCATGCATCAGTTTTGTTGTTGTTATTTTCTTTTCCAGCTTTATTTTTATCTGTTAACCGAAACAAACCCGAGAACAAGACCTAGAAATAACCATGGTGACTTGAAAGTGTCTGTGATTTTTTTCGAATATCGTACATTTAGCCAATTTTAAACCTTATCGTGCTGTCCTAGTAGAATTTGAAAACAATCAGAATGCTCTCGGAGAGTAAATTAGAATCAAAACGCAAAATTATAATTCTCCCTAGGAAATCACAAACACAGAGTGCTTTGCGTTAAAAAAGTTTTCATTAGATAAAATAGAAAGGACAAGACAGCAAGAAAACAAAATGATAAAGAAGCATCTAATTTAAAAAAAAAAAGGTTTCCTTCGAGCCGGATTTGAACCAGCGACCTAAGGATATCATCTTTACCTCTACAGTCCTCCGCTCTACCAACTGAGCTATCGAAGGAAGATCGATAGTTTTGTTGGTCATTCCGCTGCTGTTTTTGCCCTTGTGGCTACCGCAACTTATTGCAGCTTAGCCCAGAGCCTACTCATGGTCCTGACGCTGATGCGCAAGTATTGTTTTCTTGCTCACATTTTCACAGATTACACTTCGAGAGCTGTGAAAATTACCTTCAAGAAGGCTGATAGTCCATCAGATCAGTACCCGAACTCCGTTGCGTTTGTTAGCCGCTCACCAGTTTGGTTATTTCTAACCTGATGTGTTTCTGTTCATACAAATAGTACCCGTCAACAGAGCGAGGAGATGTTCTGATGTTTCTCAGTGGCATGGCCGAAATTACAACGGTTGTTGCTGCTGCTAAGGAGTATGCGCAACAGTCTCGCCGGTGGATAATACTCCCGCTTCACAGCTCACTGTCTGTAGAGGAGCAAGATAAGGTGGATATGGAAAAGAAGTTGTTTTGTTTTATTTTATTTTCAGGTCTTAAATTGCACTAATACCTTCAATTATCGATTAGTTTAACTACTTAAACAATTGATCGTAATACAAACTTTTCCTTATACCATTGAATTGACAGTACAATCTTTCGGACTTTGTCAATGGTACCAGTACATTGTTGGCCATAAAATGTTGTTGAGATATATATTGTTTTAATCAAAGTCGTTCTTTTAAAGATAAAACACAACCTGTATAGTTTGGTTTTCTTGCTCCCGCTTTATAAAAATGCGGCACAGCCATTATAAAATGACATCGACAGGGCCGCGACAGCTAGAGAAAGTCCAGCAAACTGCCTCCTACTTCCTTAGCGGTTTATTCCCATAAGAGTCACACCCCATAACCCCACCCACTCCTCCCGATATACGTAGACTAGCTAAAATGTCCATTTCAGTATTCTTTGTACATAAAGTGATAACGGATGTCTGTGGGCGAAGCTATAAACTGGTGGTCAGTATAGTAGAGTCGCATGAACAGGCCTTGATTCGAGCGATAGGGATAGAAATAAATACTGAATGGTAAGAGACTGGGGGACACAAAGAATGTTGAAGAACGTTTTTTGGTCGGTAGGTTTTTGATGTGCCTCCTGAAGGTGTTCGCAAATGTGTTGTGTCCACAAACATCGCTGAGACTTCCATCACAATCGATGGCATCAGGTTCATTGTGGACTCTGGAAAGGTAACTTTACTTTTGTTATATTTTATTTTCTTAAGGAACATTACAGATCTCGACATGCTCTTAACTTCGATTCTCCTTTAATGACGTGTAACTGTGAAATGCGCTTTTTACTACTTTACAACCATCTGATAAAGTAACAATTAAAATAACAGATACTTATTTCTTGCCTTTCGGTATATACTTTCGTCGTATTGAGCTTCCCTCGGTCACTGGTCTTGTGGTTTTATTTAACTAGGGAGGTTCTCGAAAGGATTTGCGTAGATTTGATGCCGCCTGATGAAGTAACTGTTTCTGAATGCAGAATATACGAAAAACTATGGTTTTAGGCTGAATTGACCTCGCCTGTTTCTTGTTTTGGACTCAGTTAGATTGAGAATAATTTTTTAACGAAAACATTCGGTTCTGATTTATTCAAAGGTAAAGGAGATGAGCTATGATACTGAAGCTAAAATGCAGCGACTGCGTGAGTTCTGGATAAGTCAAGCGAGTGCAGAGCAGCGCAAAGGAAGGGCTGGTAAGTCGCTGTCACAGCGTCTGAAACATACATACATTCGAAGTTTCATTCACATTTCATAATACATGGGCGCGCGTAGATATGGAATTTCTCCTCGAGTATTTAACTCGATAGCTCACGAGTAAGCGCAGCGAACGAGTGAGATGTCGAATTGAACATAAGAAGAGGAATTTATTATCTACAAGCATCCATGTATTATTTTTTTTATCATATAAACACAATAGCCCTTTACTGACAAAAAAAAGTCGACTTGACCAATGAATGAAAACAAAAGGATCGACATTCCTTGTATAAAAATCGTAAAGTGGGTTGGCGCTAAGGCTCAAGATGAAAACATGCGTTGAAAAATTACGAGAACAAGCAATGGGCGTAATTTTCAATGTACAAAATTCTTAGTTATCGACTTGGTCCTTACCGACAAAAGAAATCTTTCAGGTACACGGCCAAAATTGGCCTGTGGCAAATCGCCTTGTTGTCGATTTTCGTTCTCAGCCGCGAGAAATGCCATTACCAAAGCCACTGAATACGTAACTTTCGGTTTTTCTTTCAGTATTTTGGTTTTCTTCCCCTCCTAGGAAAGTTTGAACGTCACCGTCACTGGCTATAAGCGATACGAATTTTTCAGTGTCTAAGCAGCCATTAATCCGAAAAGTTTCCGACAAACGACTTTGTGTTGAGAATGGTGAAGGCTTCGCCATTCATTCATCAACCTGACCGAGTGGTGCGAAAGGCGAGTAACGTGTCAGCAGCTGATTGGTGATATCAAAGACACGTGAAAAAATATCGTATTTTTTCACGTGAGTTGTTACATCTTTTCTCGGGGCTGGAAATCCTTGTATAACACCGTTGTTTATACGAGTGAGATGCCGAGTTGAACACGAGAAGAGAAATTTTATATCCACAAGCAACCATGTATTATTTTGTTTATCATATAAACACAATAGCCCTTTTATTTAGAAGTAGAGTCGACTTTACTAATGAATGAAACTAAAAGAGTCGACAATCCCCGAATAAAACTTATAAAGTGCGTTGGTGCACTCAAGATGAAAACATGCGTTGAATCACTACAAAAACAAACAGTGGGTCTAATTTTCAATATAAAAAATTCTCAGTTTTTGAATTGGCCCTTACCGACAGAATAAATCTTTCAGGTACGAGGCCAAAATCGGCCTGTAGCAAATATTCCAGTTGTCAATTTTCGTTCTCAGCCACGAGAAATGCCATTAACAAAGCCACTGTATACGTAACTTACGGTTTTCTTCGCCTTCTAGGAAAGTTTGAACGTCACTGTAAGCGATACGGAATTTTGAGTGTTTAAGCAGCCATAGTCCGAAAAAATTTCCGACAAACGACCTTGGATTGAGAACGGTGAAGGCTTCGCCGTTCATAATCAACCTCACCGAGTGGCGCGAAAGGCAAGTGACGTGTCAGCAGCTGATTGGCGATGTAAAACACATGAAAAAATATCGTATTTTTTCACGTGCGTTGTTACGTCTTTTCTCAGGGCTGGAAATCCTTGTATAACACCGTTGTAAATATCATTATATGAATTGGCGAACGTAGAGAATTTCTAAAGTTGACCTCTCAAGCGTCAGACCTTCGTCAGAGCGAGGGGCTAACGCCTGCTTTGTCTCATGTTAGTCAGCTTCATCTGTGGTTACTCTTGGTTGCATCATTTTAGGTCGTACGGGTCCTGGTGTGTGTTTTCGTTTATATTCTGAGAGTGATTATCAAGCCTTTTCGCAATACACCACTCCTGAGATTCAGTTGGTACCTTTAGACTCCATCATTCTGCAGATGGTCTCTCTTGGTATTAATCGCATCCGCGAGTTCCCCTTCATAGAACCACCACCAGCATCCAACGTTGAAAACTCAATTTACACTCTTAAGCAACAAGGTGCTCTGACAGATGATGAAGCCTTGACACCTATTGGACAAATGTTGGCTCAGTTGCCTGTTGATGTCGTCATTGGAAAGATGCTTCTAATTGGCTCAGTGTTCCACGTGATTGAACCCGTTATGATCATAGCTGCAGCTCTCAGTGTTCAATCTCCTTTCACACAAAAGATGGGTTATGACTCTGTAGTGGCGTCACTAAGGCAGCCTCTAGAGTCTGACCATGGCGACCTGTTTACGCTGCTGAATGCCTACGATGAGTGGCTACAGGTTAGTTGACGATCACTATATATCTGCTGCTAAATAGCTATGACAGGTAATGAAATATAGCAAATAGGGCACAGATTACAAGTTTCGAACGAACCTGCCGTTACTCCTAGAAATTATCCCCGGGTTTGGAAACTTAGACTGATGCCTATTACCTGACCGCGAAGCCTCTTAGACTCCTTTTGGATTATCCTGATTGAACCCAATGAACTAATTAACATGACAGCGCTAAAGAGCTTCTTGTAATGCGCATGCTTCGGAAAAAAAACATCGTGGAGTAAGAATAGTGTAAACGTTTACGTTGTCCACCTACATTTTGTTTGAATACACTAATTGAAATGAACTTTTGAAATGTGAATATGTCGGTCAGTGAATAAGAAAGAGTTTTCTCCCTCATTTGGTTTTCTAGGTGAAAAGTCATGGAAGCTCTTCTCGGAAGTGGTGCAAGCGCAGAGGTCTGGAAGAACAGCGTTTTTATGAAATGTCCAAACTAAAACGTCAATTCGAATCGCTCCTGCGGGATCATCACTTGATGGATCTCGAGGAACGTGATGAGGATGCGGAAGACCGGGATCGGGAGGAAGATAAAAGGCGGGAATTGAAGAAACTGAAACGAAGACATCGCAAAGAAACACGGAAAACAAAAATGCTAAAACTGGACGAGGACCAGGAAAGCGGAGACGAAAGAGATGAGGAGACTGGAACTGACATCCGCGATCTAGAATTTAAGCTTACACACGACCTGGACAAGCTTGAGGCAGGAAGTACAACGAGGCGCAGCTTCACATTGCGAGACATAAATTTGCTGAAGATTATTCTCTGCAGTGGACTGTACCCTAACCTGGCTTTGCCAGATGAGAACAACACGAACAAAAGGGACTCGGAGCAGTTGTTTCATAGCAAGGCAAAGCAATTCCTTCAGGTTCTTCCTACCAGTGTGTTTGCCAGTCGACCTCAACTACTACAACTCACTGAGTCCCCAGTTAATTATCAGTTGCTCACGTATGTCTCTCTTTTGGAGACCAGCAAACCGTATTTAGTACAAGCCATGCGAGTCCCAGCGTTACAAACTCTTATGTTGTTTGCACAAAGCTTGGACACTAACTCAGATTTGACACGCTTTGTTGTAGACGGTTGGCTTGAAATCTCCTTTCCAGATAACAACACCGGGCAGGAGGTGATGTTCTCTGTCCAACGGCTACGCTCCACTTGGGTTCGCCTGTTGAAGCTAAGATTTGATGAGATTAAAGACAAGCAGGATCGTAGTGCTACACGACGAAACAGAGAACTGGACTTGGAAAGTCATCTGGCCAAAAAGTTGTCTGAATTCTTGGACAGTAATGTCACTTACTCACTCCGACGACTTCTGCCGTCTGAAAGCCGATACTTGTATCTTGGTCCTCTCGGTCAAAGTCAGAATGATGACAGGTTGGAGGATGCCTCTGGTTTGCCTTTCACGGGAAGCCTGGAACCGCACCCAACCAAGGGGGGCTTCCGTGTGAGTGATTATCTGACCTACAGCTGCCTACAAGACACTGTCATGGCCGAGGCTGCCTCTGCCGCCGCTCAATACATTGCTAAGCATTGGCGGTGCGAGAAATGCGGCCAGAAAATGTTGGTGACTGTTTTGGAAAGGTTGAGACATGAAGAAGAATGCCAGAATGAACAGGCCCATGACTCAAACGACCCAGTGGTTGAGTCTCATAAAGACAAGGTAGCCGTTAACCCATCAATCGAGAGGTTAAGAAAGTCATATTATTGCAACACATGTCAATCACAATTCTCATTTACAAGTACTGAAATTTTAAAGCATAAGAAGTCCCATTTGTCTTCTACATAGGTAGAAGTAATTAAAGTAAGTATTTCTTCTTTCTAGACCGTTTTCATCGGTACAATTCTGTATACGTGGTACCCTCAGAGTCATGGTTGTCACATTTTTTCCTCTTTCAGTAGTGTGTTGAGGCTGATAATAAATAAATACCAACTTCTATGGAGGGGGATCATTTGGAAATCATTTGAGATTTAATAAATAGATCACGCATGACCAGTTGACCTCATCGCCTAAAGAAGACTAGCAGTATGCAGTCGAAATGTCGCGATCTACATCACACGTGACTACATCGCGAGACAAACGGAAAACCTAGCTTTTATTGTTATTCACCACGATGAATAACCACAGCCTTTTTTACCTTTGAGATTTGTTTTCTTATTCTAAATTCACAAAGTTAATGTATCCGTTAAGCTTACTGCGCGGAAAAATTCTGTACTGTAGAGAACAAAAAAGCCGAGAAAGAATGCCAAAAATATGGAAATTCATGACTAAAATTTTCCTCTAAGCCCAAGACTTGTTTATTCAAGAAAACAAGAGGGATAGCTAGAGCCATCAAGTTTGAGGAGAAAAATACAATAACAGATCTTATAAAGGGCTATTTGTCACTTCCAAATATAAAATTTACGGCGGAGACTAAGCTCGCGCAGCGCCGTTGGTTGCCACCGTAATTAAGAAAAAATGTTTACTCATTTAGGCGAGAAAGTGTGGTGCGAACGTAATGAAATTACGTACGTACGCAGGTACTTTCATGATAGTATTGAACCACGGAACTACTTGTGCATGCAGGTTGAGTAAAATATAAGATACTTAATGAAGAGTCTGTGGTATTTATGCAGGAGTTGGTAGTATCGGAACTCAAACGAGTGAGCGTAGCGAGGGAATGAGTTTTCTGATAAAAAGCGACGAGTACGTAACTAGCATACGGACAGACTTTTCATGGTGTATATGTTTATCATATACTTACGTAGATTCGCTTCTTGGTCAATGATAATTGTTAGTCAAAAATTTATAAAATCGATCATGAAGTGGTCATACTTTAGGACAAGTGTGTTTACCATGATGAATAATCGCATCGTACAGCCGATTTTAAACAAAGGACGTGTTAGAGAAAACAAACCTAAGTCTGTCTCTATTTGTTGTTAAGCTGGCCCCATAAACAGATTTCGACTGATCACTTCAATTTAAGTGAGAACGGTGAATTTACCTCTCATTTCGTTTACTTTCCTTCTAATCATTGCATAGATATTACAGAGGAATCAAGAAAGATTTCACTCTCAAACCAAACTCAAATACCCTAATGTTATTAAACAAATGGCTGAAATCCTGTGGAAGCTTAGAAATGTTCAACTATTCCCGTTTGCTTCTGGCGTAAATACTGTTTTAAACCTGTCAGTCTCACAGCTACTTTCCTTTGTATCCATCATTGTGATCCTGCGTAGTCTAAAGGTAGAAATCGACGCCTTGTTTGCCCCTTCCTTTGGATGGGTTTCCTGAAATGCTGATTGCAGAAACCTGTTCGAATCGTTTACTGTCTCTCGAGAAAACAAGCCCTTCAAGTCTTTTCTAAAACTACGACTTAACGTTGTATACAGAATGGGATTAAAACAACTATTTGCAGTGGTTAGAAGTCTGGCAAACTCATACAGCTGCCTAGTGGCATACGAGTTCAACAGTGAGGGATTTGCAATGATACTTAAAATGATCACTTTGTGCGGTAAGATGCATGCCGCATAAACTAACACCAGACCCGTCAACAACTTCGTGGTCTTTCGGTTTTGCTTCTGCCGTTTTTCAGCAACATGCACGCTTGTGTAAATGCCTCGTCTATTGTTCTGCTTGTGAGCCTTTCGTAAGTGGCTGATAATTCCAACGTAAAAGTAAACGAGGCAGAATGCAGGAATTATGAACTGTGGATTAACCAACGCCATGATGTAAGTAAGGTTGAACGAAAGCTGGCTTGGCCACCATTGTATGTCAATGAGACACCTCCCATTTGGTTCCAAGGTTAGGGCAAACACAAATGGTAGTTGCAGTAAGCACGAGTAGACCCAACCAAACGTCACCATAGCCACAGCTTTTGTTTTGCTAAATGGACTCTTCAGCGTCTTCACAATCGCAAGGTATCGCTCATAGCCGATGCAAATCAACATCGATCCCGAAACCGTGACGGAAACAGCGCTCAAAATGTTAATTAGCTTGCAAAGAACAAAACCAAAAGGCCATATGGAGTGGTTCTCAAGGTAAGCCAGGTCAAAGGGAAGGTATAAAAACAAAACCAATAGGTCAGACATGGCCAAGTTTAATATGAAGTATCCTTTTGCGGAACCTAAGTTTTTCTTCTTTGTACCAAGGATAACAGCACAGACTAAGATATTTCCAAGTACACCGATCACAAAAACCACAGGGTACAATACCAGGCGTACTACGCGGATCGCGAGGTGCTCGTCAAAGGCGTAACTGCCGTTCGCCGTTGTATTGTTCATGGTGTTCTTTCAGTTCCTCGTACATGAAAATGAAATTTCTGAAACAAAGAGAGCAAAAATCCAATCATTAGACTTGAGGTTTTGTTTTCCAATTTATGTCATAGTCAATGCAGTAGGAGCGCATGAGAGGTTTCCCAGTGAATTGCAGTAAACGTTTCACGTAAGCATTCTCCATAAGCTATCGAATGTCAAGAAGGTGAAATTTGCTTTCGCACCTCAAGCGAAAAGGAGCACTTTCGAATCTGATCTGGCAAAATTTAATAACTTTTCCCGACAAGCTGACTAAGGGGTTTGTGCGTAGTCAATTTTGACACTTAATTGCACAATTGTATGCAGACGACTTAACAGATTATGTATTTAATGAAAAAATGAGCTACTTTCGAGAAGTGTGAAAAGCGAGCCAACTTTGTTTACAATTACGTTGTTGCAGAAATGCTTAAAAACATAGGAAAATCAAGGAGTCAACTCACAACCCTTGTGTTACTCAAACAGGTTAAGAATTGTGAATAAGTATAATTCTCTACCATGGCTAACTTATTTCTGAGACCATCTGAATCGGTAATTCTTTAAGAAAACAAAGTGTTACCATGAAAACATGGAAATGTGAACAGTTACCTTTACTGCGAAAGCCATACCAGAATAGACACTTTCTTTACCATTTAAAAGGATAAAATGACCCAGTGCGATGTTCTAGGAATTAATGACACTATAAATCCAACTGTACTTTCCAAATCTTTAGCTTTATTCAAATACTATCCGTACCGCGGCTAAAGGACATATTTTTGAACTGTTTGAGTAACAATACACAAGGTGTTAAACCAAGATGAACTGTTTCCGTTTGAACCTATCGCTCCGCTTAGATGAATAAAATTACTCAAAACATCTTTAAGACCAACTTCGCTGGTAGACTTTGTCGAGAACGATGGGGACGAGAATTTAACAATTTATACATGAATCATGGAGAGAAACCCATTAGATACAGCTCGTGAAACCTGGGTCTTGTCCGGTAATGAAACAATCGACAACTTTAGTTCGTAAGTTGCTATAGCGACTAAAAACGAAGATTTATTTATTAAGGTGACTTTTAAGTAGGTTTACCTGAGAAATTATATTGAAGCTCATGAAAACGAAGATTTGAGAGGGAGAGGCGATATGTTTGGAATTTTCTAAATCAATCGAGAACTGAAATATCAAAAGTGAGCCGTGGTAAATTTTGAACAGGAATTGGGAGAACACGCTCTGAAGTTGACATGCTATCTGCTACTTATATCAGTTAATTAAGAGGCTGACGTTAAGAAGCACTTAACCATGTCGCGGAAGTGTAACACCCGATACACATGCGTCGAGTTCCTGCCAAGATCTTCTCTGTGCCAAATTACTAGCGTTAATTCTGCTGGTAGTTTTTATCTGCCTTTATCTACCGATACTTTTTATCTTTTTTTTTTTTTATTGAAGACTTTCGAATGCATGGCTTTACTTTACTTCACTATGTCAAGTGAAGTTTGTGACAGCATTAAACTCATATCCAACTCAAACAACCACTTTAATTGTTTCTCTCTAAACCGCCGTCAGTTTTGAAATAGAGAATCCAATAGATGACATCACCCATCAAATTCAATCTTAATGTTACTCAATACCATTATTTTCAGTTCTTTCACAAGATATCATTACATAATCGAACTCTCCTGGTTTTTCCCTCTCAAAAATCAAAACTATATTTGGAACAAATCCCAAAGGAGAACTTGGCTTCCATATTCGTTTCTTCAACTGCAGTTCACATACCGTATTTATTCGACTATAAGCCGAGCGATTTTTACACAAATTGAAACTGAAGTGAGTTAAAATTTGGGCTGTAGAGGGTATATGATTTTCATATATTTACAGAGAACTTGGTAGTTACACAGGGTTTCAATCGTTATCGATAATATCTTCTTATTGCAAGAGCAATGATATTACTTACGGGAAGCTTGCCCAATCTTTGATGTGGAGAACTTGAATAACATTTTTTTTTTCAATCTAATTATGTTATGACGAAGTTCAAAATGGTTAATATTAAAATTTAATGATTGCCCATAAGACAACAATGTCTTGCAAGTCTCTATATGCTGCGCTAAAAACATACTTTGATCCCTTATAGTCGGAAGAAACTTCGGCTTTGCACTCAGAGATATATTGCACCATGTATGTTGTATTTAATATTTTGAAAACATGGAAGATACGTGTCGATAAATCTGACAACCATAGTATTCAGTATTTAATTAGAAATGTGGTTTGGCAATAGGAAAACTGATTCAGATTTGTGTTTACTGCAATTTCGAACGGCGAAATCAACTTCGCTTATTTCTCCTCGTATCCTTGAATACATCTGCAATGAAAGAACTCTCCCACAAGTAGCAGGATTTTTTCACAATGATGCAAAAGCCACCGAGAGGTGGGCATGAAGATTTTATTTCTTGCCCCTTATTGTCGGCATGAATTGGGTTGTAAATCTCTCTAAGATCAAATGGATCTCCGAAAAACGTTATAGTCACATGAGGGGTTCTTGTAATGTCCAGTATGTTGTCAAAAAATGATTGACTGAAGACTCTCGATCAGGAATCCTTCATCAAAAGTGGCACAACTACCTATTCCTTTCCATCTTCGGCTCAACAAGACGCGAACAACAACGAAAATATTCGATTTGGTACGTGATAATGTAGATATGGGACCAAACTATAAACAGCATATAACCAGTTTAATTTCTGTGGAAAAACTGAAAAATTAATAGACTAGCTGAAGCAAAATCTTTTTTCCATGAAGCAAAATCTTTTTTCCATGATGTCCTGCATGTAACAGAGGGTTAAACATGAAACAAAATAAAGATAGGCGTGAAAAGGGGAACAGATTGTAACCTAGTTGAGTTTAGCTCAAAAGGAATGAAGTGTGTTAAGTCTGTTGCGTCGATAATTCTTGTAGTACAATAATTCGCTTCCACTTCTAACCAATGATAACTTCCACAGCTACTAGATCTACAGCACTGATAAATAAAATCTGTAAATCATCCTATCTCCATCCCGGCTAGAATTATCCTGATCTTGAAGATTACTCATTTGATGAGCGACGTTCGACGAGAATCAAGAAATGATTTCGTTACGCACCTTTTGTGGATGATGATTACGATGAATAAAGAACTAAATTGTCTGCATAATGGTTTCCTAGTTCAAAATATCCTCTGTCTCGTTATTGAAATATGAATTATGTGTTTTTACGGCAGACGAACCCTTCATTCGATCGGGAAAAAATGTATTATACGATTTGCTAGATCACAAACAGATGTTAAGTAAATCGAAATATAATCAGGAAGAATTTTCAGCGTGTTATTGGTTCCTTTTCTCGATGCGTCAACAGCAGCGAATTTCGTCGTTAATAATCGGTTTGTCAAAATTAGCATGGAACTTGTCACCGCTATTTTATTCCAACGTATCAACGTTTCTTTGATGCTGGAACAGTAATCCGCGGTGTCTTACAGGCAAATGTGGTACGTGCTAATTGTTACTAGCAGTTATTGAATCTTTCTCCATTAACTAAAAAAACGTAGGTGGATTATTTTCCCTTCTCCAATTAATTTTTTTTACGGAAGATAGTTAAAAACTTAATTTGCAACCCTTGTTCTGAGATAATGGCAATTAACAATTGACGTAAGTAAACCGTGAAAAGCAGCAAGACAAATCTGGAGAGGTTAAACAGACACCTGAACATAATCATGTTTTATAGGAGCTCATAACACTGGCTTAAGCTAAAAACAGATTCATGTACTTCACTGAAAAACCGCTTCCTAAAATGATTAGTGAGTTGCTTCTTAATTGAGCCATAAAATATTAGTGAGTGGAAGAGAAACGAAGATTTCACAGCTCTATTACTGGACAAAAAAAAACACTCACTTCAACATATTTGTGTGATTAAGTTTAGCACGTTCTGAAGAGATTTAAAACAAGGCGTTTTTCGTGTGATAGCTAGACAACATTATTTTCCTCTTCTCCAAGTGAACAATTATGTTTTTTCGCTGTCTAACGTTAGCAGTTAACGCCAACTCGTTTATTTCTTTCTTGGTCAGAAGCGCATTCGCCGTTGGAAGGCTATATAAAATGTCATTGTATGAGTATCTTTTGCTTTAACTTTTCATTTATGTGAATATTTGCATATATCAAAGTAATTCAATGAGGAGAAATTCATCGAACACCTGGACTATCGAAAATATATGATGAACAATTTCTATCGTAATGAGAAGTGGTTCTAGAGGCATTAAAAATCAGTATTGACTAATTGATATGAAAAGTAGCCTGGCTATACTTTTACGTGATCATTAACTAAGAAAGTTTTCAGCGTTTCCTTCCATCAGGAATTGTGCAAAAGATACCTATCTCTTTCGTAATCCTCATTTCCTTAAGGTTTCTTTCGATTTCCGCTGAAACAGATCAACTTAGTGCGGACACATTTTCAGTTTGAAATTTTTAATTTATTTATTGAAGAAACGTCAGCGAATCAGGCAAACGGCTATGTTGCTTTGAACATTAGTAGTATCTCGTATTTATAGAAGCGACGGCTTAAAAATTTTTTTTCAAAGCCCGTTATAAGCTATGTAGAGCAGAGAACACTAATGAGCTAAAGAACAGTTAGTTAACCTGTCGATGAAGGAACAAGTTTGCGTAAAAAGATAAGACTTCTGATGATCCCTGTTTGCGAACAATTAAGCTTTCGCTGTTATACGCCTTTAACTTTTTTTCCTGGTTTTTTTTTTCGCATAAAAATCCTGATCTCGCCATTTTTCCTCCGATAACCTACATTTCTTCAATTGTAATCTGTTACGTTAGCTTGCATATATATAGGACTCTATGAGTTTAACCAAACTTTCTTGACTGCACTTGTATTTGATAAGTGTTATCGTGTTTTCCGCTGAAAATATTTCCATCCCCTGTAGGAGTCCTGCAGCTTAGTAGAAGCTAATGTAATAGAGCGACTTTTCGCTTGGGAGCATTCCTGACCTCCCCTAGTCTTACGGAATGAGCCTCTCCTAGGGAAGGTTTATTTTCCAGGGGTATTAAGAGCAAGAGCTTTCTGAAAAAACTGGTTAGGGGAAGAGGCTGAGTGTCCTGCTTCTGTAATGAGATTGCATTTGGTTTTTGTGTTGTAGATAACAGCAGTAGAAATGAAACATGTAGATGAGGTTTCAACTATCACATTCCAGAATAGATTTAAAGTCACGTTTTAAGCATATCTCTTTTTTATCAGCCACTTCAGCTTATCTTTGATTCCACGTTTTATACCTATTTATTTTTCCCGACTTGCTAATTATTTTTCACAAACCACCGATCACGCAAATATCAGTGCAAAAATCACCTTGATAGTATTGTACCTGAGGAGGGCTGGTTTGGCCAGCCTCGTTATAGCACAGAAATTCTACATGGTATCGGGTTATGTTTAAAACATTTTACACTCGTCGCTTGAAAAATCACACCTGGCATCAGCTCGTCAGTTTGCTGTAGCGCATACCGACAACATTATCGTCAACCTTTGCTTGTTCAAAAAATTCTATTACCGTACATGTGCTTTAGGTAACCTCCGGGCCAAACAGTGAACCTTACTGTAAAATATATCCTAATTTAATGGAAATCAGTTTATGTAGGATGAAATATACACGTTATTTGCATAAGATTTGACTGCCAGTAAGTTCGACGTTTTGAGGACTTTTGGCCGTGCCTTGTTGTATAACTTGAATAAATTTTAGAAGCTGACTCCTTTTTTGTTTCGGCTCTATCCTGCCACCCAATCTCTCACAAAGTAGTATCAACTTTTAAAATCGTGCATAGTCCTTAACTCCTCACCAATTATAAGGAATGTGAATCATCAGCGGAGAAGAAATTAATGTATATGGTGACAAACAATCTAGTTTTCATCCGCTTTAGTGATGAGCAAAAAAATACGTCAACAATAGTCTGTTAGGATCTGATATTGGAACTGCTTTCTGAGGGTCCACTGAACCCCTCTGCAAATTGTTTTCACGTTAGAAACATTGAGGTTTTTGACACTTCATTCATAATCTTTTAGAACTGCATCGCGTTAAAATTCGCGGATGAATTGTTTCTTATCGACTGACCTGTTTTACTCTGTCTGGTGCTTCAAAAGAAACTCGTTTTTGTTGTAACCTCCATACCGCTAGGTCTGTGATAACTTGGATTTCATCCTTTGCAGATACCGTCAATGAAATGTTAGGGAATGGGTAGAACCCACAATCACCTCCGTTCATGACATACACCAGAGTAAATTTTATAAAACGAGGAAACTCGAGTGAGCTGAAAAGGATAGTTGAGAATACACGTGAGCACGTGGCGCTATCCAAAATGATATCATAAAAGGTCAGATGTACCAGAAAAAACCTTATTAACTCAACTACCAACTAGTTTAATTTCAATTCTCCGTAGAGTGGAATGGAAAGTAGAACATCTTGACTCAACTCACCTTCCATATGACACATGAACAGTGATTGACTGCTCATGGACCTTTGTGAAGAGATTGGAAAATTGTAGGACGTGACCATTGTCAAATCTGGTCGGTGTAGAAGTCAATCTAAAACTTTTCACCGGTGGATGCCGACACGTAACACTGGAAAACACGACGAAAAAGATCGAAGTAGTGTAGGATTTGAACCCGAGAAGAGTTCAACCTTTATTGTCTGTCAAACGTCATCGCGCAACAAAAGATTACTCAGACTTCACTAAATTATGCGAGCCAGACGCCAGATTGAAGACATTTGAAAAAATTCAAGCAAAACATCTTGCAAAACAAAAGCTTCGTTCACATGGTACGTTCATTTAAAAAAAATGCTTCCACGCTCGCTCAGAATAAAAAGAGACAGTCACGAATCACGAGGAAATGGAAACTTTAATCATATTTCATGAGAGGAAAATAGCCCCAATAATGTTTCGCGAAAGATCACTGATAAAGGGACCCTCTGCGCCTCATACTTGTCCATAACTATCAGCTGGAAGCAGAAGTTCATACGACTTTGCCTCTCAAAACAATTATTTCAAAACGATTAGTCGATCACCGGTCCGACTGATAGCTGACAACTACCACAGTGAGCCATTACTGAGTAACAAAACCTTATTTACATACATACATGTAACAGGAGCATCTGGTATTCCGGAAACAACGAGAAACCTTAAACAATCAGCATTTTAAATTTTATTCTATACTGACCGATATCCGTGTGGAAAGTAACTCGTCATGGACATGCAGCGTACTTAGCGTATCCCCATGATTGATATTAGCCGAAGAATTTGAATGAACTAACTAAGGAAAAGCATAAAACGGTAGTTACTAAAACGAAGGATCTTCGTTTTCGTAGTGTGTCTCATGAACATAATCTTTTTCCGCAAAGGTAGTACCAACCTCTTTTGAACTTGTTTTAGTAATGTGTCTTCGTTTTCGTGATGGGTTTTCGTTTTCGTAGGGGGTCTTCGTTTTCGTAATGGGTCTTCGTTATCGTAACTAACAGCATAAAACACAGTTAAGTCTTTGTTTACTTCATCGTTGTTCAGCGCACAGTACAAAGGGCTAGGTTTTCACACCATTTGGGTAAGGTAAGTGAAATTCGGTAAACAGAAGACTAAGGCTAAGGGAGAGGGCAGTGGGGTCCAGTGGCTTTTATCCAATACTCCCATAAAACTGACTTGTCCCACTGGATTCATGTGATTCATATGCATAGAGTGAGACACCTGGAGTGGAAGTGTTTAAATAGGGTAAATTAAAGGCGATTGTGGAGCCATGGGGAGCCAGGATACCGAGTGGAAAGATGAATAAATTATAGTCGCTCAAGTATATCTATCTCTGCTGTTGTGCATCAAAGTGCTCGAAGTTATTTGTTCCCGGGGAATGTTTGGTAACTGGGAATCCTTTATCTAGTAGGTATTCCACGTTTCATTACAGCGCACTAATATGATAGTTTTTCATTGACATATTTTCATACGAACTTTTAATATTGTTTTGTTGAGACAAAGTTATAAAGTCATAGTACTTCTTTTTTGCGAGAGTGAGCTACACAATTTGATGATACATCAGTGATTGTCGAATTATTAATTGTAAATCCAAAGCGAACAACTTGAAATAATGAGAAAATCGACTACTACAACAAAGTGTTGGTCTTAAATTCTTTGTGATTCGAAATGTCCGAATGATTATTTGCTATGCTTGGAATAGCTTTTTTCTTTTTTTTTTCTTTAACGAAAAACACATTTTTATTTATAGAAAAATTATCAGAAATTATCTTTCATTTTCTTAAATTGTAAGTCCAGGCTTTCACTTGGATTGTTGATAGTAAAAACAATTACATAAGGAAATACTTCCTTGGAAAAAATTGTTGTGGCTTTTTCGAATCAACGGATACATCGATAAAGCAATTCTTGCTTTATGGCTGTTTTCAAAAAGGGTTTTTATTAATGATGGCTGTCGGGTTTATCTTAAAACGTTGTCTTAACTGATTAAAACTTTCACGCAAAGGAGTCACTCGTGATGAATTGGCCATAAGTAATATAATTATTTATCGTAGACTTAAAGAGGAAAGATCAACACTGACATTGAATAACCTGTAAAATGGAGTCACGCAATGAGCCAACTTAGTTCACAGTTAAACCTGCATGAAGAGGCCATCCACGGGCTCCTTTCCAGTGCCCGCCTAACTCAGAGGTGAGCCTTTCAGAGCTTTATTATCAGCACATAAATAGGTAATAGTTAGCCTCATGTTCAGATCAGGTTAAAAACGCGTAGAAATTCCAACAAAGCAAACAAACTAATCGAATGATGTATGAAAATGTCGGGCATTAAAGGCTAACGCGGAGAGCAATTTTAAAGCTGTTGAGAGAAATGCAAGGAAAGAGAGAAATGATTTGCTTTGTAACGTCCGGCATGTCGCTGAAACCATTTATTAACCCTTAAATTCCCATGATTGAACAAGACAGAAATTCTCTTTGCAATTTCGTTATAATATTGAGCGAACAAGAGATGAGAATAAAGAAAAATATTAATTAGGAGATATAAGTAGATGCAGTACCAAATATTCTCCGAACAAACATCATAAGAAATGTATGGTTGACAGTAAGGAGAATTACTAAGGAAATCTTGGGAGCGAAAGGAGTCAAAAACATCTGCTAATCTAACTGCTTTAATAAAGGCGTCAGGCTTTTAAGTAGACTCTGACAGTTATTTTTAATCTGCATTTGGCTTCTGAAAGTATTTTGCAATTAGATCTGAAGACGAGAATTATTCATTAGTGACATATTCGCTAAGCGCCGTTAATCCATCATAAAAAACTAACAATTTACTCTATGTCTAAGATCAATTAAAATAAAAACTGCCTAGGGTCGAACATAGATGATGATAAAATACACAGCGTTTCATAAATAAGAGGAATTGTTTGGCTCATTTTTGAAGGCAAATTTTATTACGGGACACCTGCTGTTGAATGATAAAGAGTTTTATGTTGATAAACTCAATTTTCTTCAGACGAATGTCCAGCCCTTGGAAAACGGAAGACACGCACATCTCTGACACTTTTCTCCGTAGTTTTGAAGCTAAACGTTGATGAAGAGTCATACAGTTAATGCACTAACACAATGCCAGGTAAATATTTCAGTGTTTTAATTACAGAAGTGTTCAGCCGGTTAGATAACAGTGCCTCAAAAAGGAAAATGTTTTTTATAATGAGAGATCTAAGAAGTTAAAACTTAAATTTTTAAATTCAATGTACATTTGAGTAGGTACGAGAGGAAACAAATAACGAATTCAAATTTGAAATAAGCTGAATATTTCACTGTCACATCTAGTTATTGTTTTAAGATATCTTCGTTACGAAAATACTGAGATCGGTAATTTCAAAATCCACTTCTGTCAAGATAAACTTGAACGAACTTGTTAAAAATATCAGTGATGTTTTTCATTAATAGTTTTCCTGTAACTTCAATTTTTCTCGTGGCATATCACAAAAAAATCTTCGGAGCCTGTGCAAATTCTCTTCGGTAGAGAAGATAAGATACATTGATCTCTCCGCCAAATATAAAAATATATTACCTCCTCGAATAGAAATGTTTGAAATTGAAATTTTAAAATTGTAAGAATTGATTTGTCCGTACGATAATATTGCGCTCAGTTATAATTTCATTCTGGTTTTAAGTGCTTTTCAGTTTTTGTCGTTTATTTACAAAATTTAACAACACTACAGGGTCATAAAACTGCAGTTAACTTTCGCCTTTGAGTGCATTGAAAAGATAATTGAGACCAGGGCGCTAAATTTTGGCGTTTGTTTTTCTAAACAAAACCAAAGGTTACCTATGAACTAGCATTAACTCACAGTGGACCGGCCCCCAACCGATGAGAAACCGGTCGGAGTTTGCTCGACCTTCCTTACTTCTTGTTGTTGGTGTTTTTACTTTTCTCTGACTTTAAATTTCCAGTAAAGCTGCATGGAACGGGTGGACATCATATCCAGAGAAAAATTGAAATATTTTATTTTTGTTTACTGATCATTCGACTTTTTTATGATAACAATTTTGTGTTTATGTGTTAACCTTTGAAATAAATAATTCTTCCTAGTTAGGAATTCAAACATCTATCTTCCCGACAACTGGAACCTGCTGTTCATTGAAAACAGATTATTTAATCACCGAATGTTGCTCAGCGTCTGAAGCGTAATGGGTTGAATGGCGAATTGAAGTAACACAGACACATTTTCAAAAAGATCCATTTTTTTCTTATCGCAAATATATAGATTACATATAATAAGGATACAGTCCCTATAAACACTAAATCGCTGATGCATCAACAAGTGAACCAGCTTTCACAGCCGGACTGGCAGCATATTCCGATATCTCAAGTTACCCTCCAGTAGCTTTTATCTCGAATGTTTTTCCTTTTTTTCCTTTTCATAAATTCCTTCCAATTAGTCTTTCCTGAGAATTGATACTAATCAGATTACAAAAATAAAAAACATATCGATGCGTTAAGTGAGACAAACTCAAACAAAGGCATAGATATGCCTCACTGTAAAATGAACGCATTTTCAGCAAGCTCTTCGCTGAAAGGAAGCATTTCTTCTATGTCTGAAGGCTGAGTGAGAGTTGTAGGTTAATCATTTCTATTGGCAGAACTTAACTGATTGTTTGATTATTTATCGAAATTGAGCTAGATTTTGTAACATTGTTCTGAAATATGTTGATTATTACGAAATAGAATGATGTGTGTTTTCATCGTTTCCTGAGCAGTCATTCAAAGCACTTTAGTGCCAGCTGCATTATAGATAGAGGTAGCTTCTATTTCTCATCACATATGCAGAGAAACAGGGGTGGTTAATTGCTTCAAATTGGTTTATTCGCATCGGGAAAGAACAGGGCCTAGGCGAAAGAAGAACAGAAATTGAACAACGTGAGTTATATGTCATTTCTTTTCCTTTTTTATTAAGTTTCCGACGGAATTGATTACTGAGGCCGTCATTTTTCCAACATATCAAAGACTCTATGTAAAGAAACAATTATATTGCATGCACGCCATGTCGACAAAAACATTTAATATCATCCGGCTAAACTTCGTAGTCAGAGATGAGGCATGGAGGCGTTAGTCAGCCTGACCAATGTCAAATAATAGTTTCTTTTAGGATTTTAGTTGTGTGCAATGTGTCAAATCTTCCCACCAGTCATATATCTTATGCATAAACACTTTAGATATAAGGATCGGGTCGCATTAGAGCGAATTCAAATAACTATCGACTCAAAAATTGCTAACAATTTTGCGTTTTCCGAAGTTCTGCGACAGTTACATCAAACTAATATCCTTTGACCAAAACTCCACTGATTGATTCCTACGTCAATCACAACCCATCTCGCTCTAGAGGAAACTGAAAAAAAACTCGGATTCATTTTCCTGCTAATCTTTTGCGTTGTGGTTCAAGATTGCGTTTCTTGAGATGGATTCGATACTTGCGAATGGAGGAGAGTTTCTAGTTGAAGCCAAAGGTTCTCCAAATTGCTGCCAGTTTAACAGTACCCAGGGTACGAATCACAGGCATTTGAATTAAAAGCTGCACCCGAAGTCGTTTTCTTCGACAGAAAAAGGTTCAGATGAACGAGGAGAATCCTGTAACCCCGCGTCAAAGACAAGCGGACTAAAGTTGACAGATTTTTTGCTTAAACAAACAAAAAAGCCCTAGTGTAACCCGTGCCTAACAACTAAGATCAGGATTTATTCCAACAACGTTATGTTCAATACACCTTCGCTGTATAAAGAAACTCCTGACGAATACTAAAACCTTTGTCTTGATCCGCAGTGTGCATGCAAAGTCGAATTGGCATCAGAGAAACCGTCAAGAATTATCGTAATGAATTCTATGCATGCGTATAAAGATTTATGTAACTCGAGGGACTGTTGATCATGATGACTTTCACGAGAACCTTTCGCAAAGAGGCTTCGATGTTCTAATTCTACTGCAAAAACGT